TTTTAGCAAGAAGGCCCTAATGTTAACCGTGGCAAAGTCAAAACAGACGAAGGAAAACCTTTATAAACAAAGACGACGACGACGACGAAGGAGACAAATAGGCTGGTATTAAAGCCATACAAAATGTACAAAGTTCCACGCGGTCACTCGAGATATAATGCCCGTGGGGCACGAAGAATGTCGAATCGACACAAAAATGGCTCGAAGGACGCTAAGAATTACCATTTATATCCCATCCTTCGATGTAATATACAAAAGGGTATCGTTGGATACTGCGTTTAAACTCAGTGAAGAAAAATCTCGTGGCGACACACGTGGATGACGAACTCCCAACTTCCATGAAGGGTAGAAACGAATACAAAACGTATTACCGTACACTCTGTAAAAAAGTTGCTGATAGGCATGCGCAGGCACCAACTATGAACTTTGACATTAATTTTGGATATACAGTGTTAAATACACGTCGGGCAGGCCCTGGGTAAATCCAAAATTAATTTACATCTCCCCGGTGCAAATCCATCTTTGAAATGAACCTCGTCATTAGTAAATTGGGTATGGTGTGCCGCAGGTGGCAAAAGTGTGCATTAAAGTTTTCATATCGGTACATATCAGAGCTCCGTATAATAAATAGTTGGGACATCGTCCCACCGTCGTTTGAGACAACCTGGAACTTATATGTGCCAGTGAACACAGACAGTTGTTAAACAATGGCTGCATGCTTCACAGTACTCATAATGAACAGCCATTTTGTTTCCGAATTGTGGAGCTGACGCGCGCCTATATACAGCTCAGTGTAACCTCATTAAACTTTAAACAACGTCCTTCCAACGTGTATCTGGAAACCATGTTCCTAGTCGTATTTCACTCTGCTTACATAGTAACAACGATTCCTGGATCGAAGTGAACCTCGGTGATAGCATGGTGGTGTCTGGCGTCATCACACAAGGCAACCCGACGTCCAGCCAATTTTATGTCAGAAAGTACAAGGTTTCGTACCAAGAGCAGCCCTCATCTGACCTCGTGCACGTGACAGATGGAAACGGAAACGCCCAGGTATAAAATACATGGATATCAACTTGCAGTTGTTGGAAGTTCACGAATAATCTTCAATGTCTTTGTTTCCTCTCTTTGCACTGTTTGCTGGCGTTTCGCCAAGTTTTTGCTTACCCGGGGTGTGGAGAATAACATTGGACTTTGGGTTGTTTTATAATACGGTGTTAGAATCTCTACAATCTCTAAACCCTCAGACTTAGGCTAAGCTAAGTTTGTTATATCTGCTCGGACTGATGCAGATTTAAAGTCTCATGGTCGTTGATTCACTGTATTGTTATTGTGTTGTGCAAATCTTCATAAAAATTTCACGCACTGAACCCCCTTTATCTTTATCGGTGTTATTTAAGAGTGTGGCACTTGTGTTAAAATTAATATCAAATTCCTAACTCAAAGTATGTACTTGGTGGCTTGTTTCAGGTGTTCATCGGTAACAACGATCGCACAAGCCCGGTCGCTAACCTGTTCGATGAGAGTGTGGTGGCCACAGTCGTGCGCATTGAGCCGACTGAATGGAATTTGTGGATTTCGTTGCGATTGGAGTTGCTTGGATGTCAACACGATTAAACGCGGCCGTGGGATCTTTTCTTTCTAAAACCTAATACATTTGACTTTACTGAGGCTCAGAAAGTACCCCGACGAAGCGAGGTAGTTGTAATTGTTAGAAGACATCGGAGTGGACATCTGACGAGGTCGTGGGTGATCCGGAAAGTAAAGAAATACAAGTAAAAATCTATCGAAATAGCATTTTATTGTCTTAATATTTTTGACCAATTGAAGCATGATCTTAAATATAACTTGAAAGGATCACACTTTGGATTCTTGAAGCTTTGCAAGAAACCACGCAAAATTCCTACTGAAGACGAAGACAGTCGATAGTTAATGTCATTACGCTTGATGAATGTTACTGATGTTGGTTCGTGTGCACAGATTGGCGCTAATAAATATCCATAGTGTTATGACGGCAGGGAAAACCTTTGAACTGAATAGTCCACCATGTGTTGATTAAACAATACTAACCCTTAAGAAACACTTTTCTTTCTGTGGACGCCGTGTTTGTTGATAATTATTTACGCACTATGGGTCACGTGACCTAATTAGCTGGCGCAAAACATTCAGGGGCTAATCCAGGGAGGATCAGGCCGGAATTTTTCATGTCTCATTTTTGCAGATAATTAAGTGGAAGTGATGATAAAAAACTACAAGACAAACTGCCATTGGCAGGCCTATGTACATTAATTGATAGACGCAGAAGAGGAATCTGCAGGGTGCTATCTTCTTTAGTTAGTTGGTATTTCCCCCATTTGCTCTACATATTTTTGGTCTCATAGCAGGAGTTACCCCCTACACCCACAATGGATCAGTCCTGGCATTAGGATATTTATTTTCTCTTGGTATGGACAATGGTGGAGCATGAGGTGGGGATGTGGTTTAAGTCGATGCGTCCCCCCCCCCACTATAAAAGCGAAGCACGTAGCCGCTGGCTTAACCCACTAAGAGTGGGGATTTTGGCCGGTCTTGCAGCAGGGAGGGAACACATCTCAGCCACGCTCGATTTTTTTCTTTGAACTTGTTAACTTCGCGTGCTTGTCACTCCTTATCATTACCAATGTGAAGTGTATGAACTCAATCAGACATTTGGCTTTTTTGTTGCGGTTATATTTGAAGTTCAAAACTACATGCATGCGCCAGCCCGCTTGCACTGAACACCGCAGTGAGAAAAAGTACTCTCGTCGTTTGAAAAGAACAGCGGTGAAGAGTGAAATCGAAAACATCCGGACTCTCAACTTGTGACCCCTGACCCTTGCGTCATGTCTATTTACATCCGTGGATTAACAAGAGATTTTTTAACAAGAGTCCTCAGGAAATCTTTGGGCGAGGGACCAGACAACATATTGTGACGCGACAGTAGGCGCTATAGGCCTGGGACAAGACTATAGATGGCGCTCTGCACGGTAACAGAGGGCAGATGTGTACTTGTGTGTAGCCGTGGGTTAAGCGAGCGCGGTGCATAGGCTCCGCCTTGCGCGGAGGGCGATTGGTTAGCAGAAATCACTGCTAGGTCACATGCAGGGCGCGCATGCGCTGCAGGCGTTGTCGGAGCAGCGGCCGGCTTGCTAGGCAATATAAGGCGCGACGGGATTACGTTTCGTTACAGCAGAACCGTTTGGTTTGATCCTGAAGTAAAACCCTGAGCTACGGTTTAGGCAGAGCAAGCAACTGAGCGGGCGGGTAGGTAGGGGTTGCTGGCGTGGCTAGTTCCTAGTCCCGAGTGATTGGCGTGTTGTTGAGGGTTTTGGTGGGTTGAGGGGCTATTTTGTGGTGCGGTAAGAGTTCCTTGTGAGAGCTTACGGTCGATTAAAGGGTGGATCGCTATCTCGCAAGGCAAGTTGTGAGTGGTGTAACCCTGAGATAGCCCTTTTGACAAGTCATCAGGTCCCTGTGGCACTAGATGCACACAAGCATGTGGGGCTCGCTGCTTCGGGCAAAGTCTAGTCGCAAGGTCCTCCCATTAAATACAGGTATAACAAATGAGGTAACGCCAGATATTGAGCTGGAGATGACCTTTCACCTTGAGCCAGTGTCTGATAATTTTGTTATTGATGAGATATCTGTGATGGATGTCAAGAAAGCAACAGGCAACGATAACATAAGCTGTCGGCTCCTTAAATTAGCTTGCCCTATTGTGGTTAAGCAAAATGTTCGAGCGAGCAGTGTACAATCAATTCTCCAGTTTCTTAGTGACAACAATCTCTTACAATCTTTTTTTTAGGCCACTTCACTCAACCACCACTGCTCTGGCTAAACTTGTCAATAATTAGTCTAAGAACACTGATGACGGTAAACTAACAGGTGTTGCATTAATTGATCTCAGAAAAGCCTTTGATACGGTTAACTGTGATCTATTACTTACTAAGCTTGGCTCGCTAGGTTGTTCCGGAACTATTGACACTTATGCTGATGATACTACGCTTACGGTTAAGGGAACGCATGTTGGTGAAATAGAGGAAAGTTGATGGAAAAAATAGTATGTGCCGTGTGACTATGAATTGGATAAACGCCAACAGACTTGTTCCTGACTCCTAATTGACTCCTGATTTTACCCAAGCTATAACCAGGTTCAAAACTACAACACCAGACATACTGTGAATTCACTTGTCGCACCAAGATGTAAAACTCACTAGGCTGAATGTTTGAGGAATAACCCGTTTGTCACAGGAATTTACGAATGGAACAAGCTATAGTCAGTTAGATCATCAAATTTTCTTTCTAGTTTAATTAAAGTATCCCTGAAAATGTTCCTCATGTAATTTTTATCTTGTTTATGTTATGCATAATTATTCTATGTTTTTTTTTACTTTCGTTTAATTTCTTTATGGCACGTTTTTTGTTAAATATATATTTTATTCTGTCTTCTATTATGAGTTCTTCTGTGATCAGTTGTCTTCTGTTTTAGTTGTTGGCTTAACATTAGTAATAATAATAATAACCTCGACCCCATGGGCTGTGCACGCACACAACGTTCCTTCACGAGCCCTAGTCGGGTAGAATGCAAATGACGTTGACTGGCTATTCAGGATGAATAACTATGCATAATGTAAAGTTAGTCGCGACTCTTCATATGCATTTCAAAAGCTGCGTGCTCGCGCCCAGGTACTCTGTTGCACGTCACGTACGCGTAAATCTGCGTCACTCGTAAACACACCACCTAAAGTCCTAATTTAAATATCTCAAATAGAAGAATATTTACATTTTCCAATACTATTACTAGGGTTTAGATCGCGTAAGGCATGGTGAGAATCAACATGGTGTGGCAAGCTCGTACCTATGAGAACGAGGTTGGATTTATAGCGCTCACTAAAAATGTAGTGATGGCGCCCTCCACGTTTTCAGTACGTTGACCTTTAATTTAGCCTGATACCCAGCTGTCAGTTCCTAGCTCGCCAACTCCCAACAGGTGCACCGGTGTACCAGACCTGGGCCGACATGTCTGATAAACTACCAGGTGAAAACACGGACACAGCTGTAATCGGATTGGGGCACAAAGACTCCAACAATTCGGCTCGAAATTCCTCCAAAATGTCTTCAATGACTCAGAGCCTGATCAGACACTTGACGTCCCCAGACCTGCTGTCCCAGGGCCAGCTGAAGCGGCTCAAGGAGCACAAATACAGCGCAGAGGGCACGTCGTTGTTCGACGCCCCGATGCAGGTTTTTTGGCGGTGGTTGATTGAGCAGATACCGAAGACGATAGCGCCCAACACCATCACCATGGCGGGGCTGGCACTTAACATTCTCGGCGCAGTGATTCTCATGATGTTCAGCCCCACTGCTACAGAACCGGTAAGTACTATTTTTTTACTGTAGTGTAGGTTGACAACTCAGATCAGCTAACGTGCGTGACTGTATAGTTGCCAGGACCCTCATGGCCGGCGACCATGATTTAGACCCGGTTTGAGGGAGCCCACCCTGTATAATGCCTGCCTGTTATTCAGGCTACTCCAGGCCGGTATCAGGCCTGTCTGCACATCAGCATTTAAAAGTCCCTGATGAAAGGCTTCCCCCACCATGCTTCCACAGAAGAACAGGGGTCTACTCTAAGCGGATAAGTGTAAACATTGTATAGCGCTGAAGGATTAAAAACCACAAGCAGGTTCCTTCTGGGATAGCTTACATGTACCAGTACTTGCAAACAATAGACCCCAGGATGGAGAAGTTCGAGATCAACAACCAGTCCAGCATCCCAGGCCGGTTTTTGCAACAGGGCGAGCTTACCGGGGGGGCGGGGCTTTTCAAACCGGGTCTAAATGGTCGCCGGCCCTTATATCACCAGGTTGGAAACATGGAAAGGAAGATTAGCCTTAGGAGCCCAGAGTAAGAGTATTGAAGAGGACAGCCACACATTGCTAAAGGTCACACAGTCTGCCATGTGTGTACATTAACGTTTACAGACATGATAAGAAAGTTGCATTTTTCCCCCGATTTAATCTCTCAAATGTTACCTAAATAGGGTCATGACAATCAATAGACATTGCCCGAGTAACACTCTTTTTCGGGGCTGACCATTAAGGCATTATTAGTAAACAGAACCGAACTACTGCTGGAGTTGGCCTAGAATATAATTCTAGGCCTACTCCTGGTTGTAGTCCGAATAACTTGCAGACTTGGACCCTAAAAATTGCCTTTTTTAACATTTGCACATGGTCGGGCTATAGGAGGGTCTACATGTAAGTATGTTCCATAAGCTTTTGCTTCCATCAATTCATTTCACTCAAAATAGCTTGTACCATTAGTCAAAATCCTCTGAATTCACTGCCAAAGCAAAATGGTCCTTGTATACTGTCTGAGGCACCCGGCTTAGGATCACCTGAGAATCGGAGGTACTGGTACCAATAACAAAAATAAGGTTTACTCACATTTGGAAAGAAAAGAGAAATTTCCCCTTCAAATCAGGAATGGGCTTGTCGTTGAGCTCGATGTCACCACCTTGTTCAAGTAACCCTTTATTTTATTGTCCTGGAGCTGACGTCATGGCGTGGCGGCCTCTGGTGGACCATTCACAAAAAGCATGTCATGTCGGCACACTTAATGCCGACGACTGATTTCTGAGTGCTGTATATCTGATAGCTGTGATCACATTGAAACTGTACACCAGACATTGTGGCGCTCAGGAATTGGTCGTCGGCACGCGTGTGCTGACATACATGTAGCATACTTTTTGTGGATGGTCCGCTAGAGGTTTGCGCAAAGGAAAAGCAGTGCAGTGCAAGCCACAGAGCTGTCTTCTCCAACATGTTCAAACAAATTTAATCAAGGGTATATTATACATGTACTGGTAGGCCAACTTTTAGGATGATCAATATCGTGATTATGCAACCTTGCCACAGACTCATTATAGAGGGCCTGCGTGTGACGTCACATCAGAGGACATTTCTTTCTTCCTCAGGGATCGGCTTGAGTAAACATTTTGTGTATTCATTGTCATTAAATCTAAATAACAAAACATGTCCCATGGGAGGGCGCTCCAGGCAGGCCCTCTATTGCCCAATAGCCTGTCACTCATTTCTCTAACCTCATACATGTACTTGTAGCTAGCCACAAAGCCTAGCCTGACTGCCCACCAACTCAAAGGAACCATAGAGGTATAGCTTGATAGCTTTTTCCAGAATTCTCCTCCAAAACAAACACTTTTCAGTTTGAACCGTCAAAATACATGCGGGATAGGTCAAGAAAATATGCAACCAAACTTTTCCCAGGCCTCCTTTATCTTGACCAGGTTTCCTTGTTTGTGGCAGATGGATTTTTCAGCTCCAAACTGTGAATAGAAATGTTTGTTTGAAATGTAAATCCCTCCATGGCGACCACTGTTTCTTTACCAACTGCCGTCCATGATGGCGCACTGCATGGGTGTCGCCATTCTGCTGTCTGACATGTCCAGTGCCCTGTGCCTTATTCTATCCAACCTATGAATTTCGCCCACAGGCACCAGGCTGGGCCTACATTACAGCAGCTTTGACGTTATTCATCTACCAGGCCCTGGATGCCATCGACGGCAAGCAAGCACGACGAACCCAGACAAGCACGCCGATGGGAGAACTGTTCGATCATGGGTGTGACTCGGTCTCAATAGGTATACTTTGGTTTCCTGCACACATTTCCTTTTGCCACTTCCCCAGTTGTTCCCATGGAAACCTTGGAGTGAAATTCACAATAGACTGATCCATTAAGCCCCCCCCCAGGTTTTTCCACCAATCATAGCCTTGATGTATGTTCGACATGAATGCACAAAAGTCCAGCATGTGTGCGCTTGTGTACAGCTCATGCTCAGCAACTTGCATTTTGGCGTCAGAGAAAAACATGTTTAATTGCTCTCCGGATTGGTCCATTCATTCCAACAATACTAGAACTTAACTTCTAATAACCCGAACAGGAATATTTTGGACGGACCCCCACCCTGAACATCTTGAGTTGTAATGCAACATTAAACTTTGGAAGAATTAAGTTAGAATCCTACTCAGTGATGCAAAAATTTCAACAAGCCGGCCCTCAGCTACGGCTGCAGGGTCAAACAGCCCTCATCTCTAAATGTGGCTGGAATTTTTGATATGTGTCATTAGTGTCAGATGTTGGTTGCTTTGTTGCCATGAGCACATGCCAATAATTATGTCTATCAACTAAGCAGTGTCTTGCTTGGTGGACATCACCCCAACAGTGCTCCCATTTGTCTAGAAGAGGGTGAATATTAAAGAAAAAAGGCAGTCTTTTCAATGCACTTAAACCCTAACAGTCCTCAGTCCTCCAACAGGTGAAGGATTGAGGAGTGTAAGGGTTAGACCTCGCAAGGATGCCAAATACGAGTGATTCACAATACTTCATGCCACTAACACTTTGCCGCAGACAGGCTACTTTTCAAGTTTACGGTCAGCATGCCGCCGCAATACAGTGCTCTTTGTATGTAATTTGGGGATATTTGATTGATTGAGCCATCGTTTTGACTACCTTATACCCATTCACAGTCATCAATTTCAAGGTTTCAACCAAGACAAACAAACATTAGGGAAAAATGCACGTTTTGTGCGCACAACACAGTTAACAAATGATACTTTGTAAACTTTATCCCATAATGCACTGCAAAAAGGCCTCTCCCTAACAATTTTTTTGGTGGTGCACTGCATTGTGAGTCTCCGGTATTGTTTTTGTAGAAAAATACAGAGTGAAGTTGCCCAAAAGGTGAGAGAAAAACTTCCACCTGGACTCTTTAGCTGCCCAGTCTGTTTGGTTTGGTTTTGTTGACATGGTTTGGGAGTTGTCTGAGTTCAACCTGTTTCTTCTCTGTCAGTGTTTGTGTCTCTGGCCTTTGGCATTTCCGTTCAGCTCGGGGAGTGGCCTGAACTGCTCTTTCTGTCGACGGTCCTCTCCATCATCATGTTCTACACTGCACACTGGCAGACTTACGTTTCAGGAACGCTGCATTTCGGAATGTGAGTTCTTAATTGGCTGTTCATCTTCAATCGGGCTGACCCTTAAATTAGCCTGATTCTTAAATGGTTGATTTTAAATGAGCCAGTTTGGTATTGTGAGTTCTACATTATCAGCATGGTCTTATGCAGACCGTGTGTGTGTTCCCTTGCTTGCATCTTTGAAATATTGGCTCACTGAAGTGATTCTCAGTTGGGTTGATTATAACAGAGCTGAAATTTGAAACTTGCTCTCTTGTAAGCTCCTGTGTTGAGGGGCTACATGCCCTGGCCCTACGTTTCGTATAAAGTTGCTAGCCAATTTTGAAAGTGGATAACGTTTCGTTCCCAGGTTTGACGTCACGGAATCACAGCTGACGCTGATAGTAATCTTCTCTCTTTCGGCATTCTTTGGGCCCCAGATTTGGGCTTTCAAAGTAAGGATTGTTTGCTGTTCCTGGAGATATATGTAGTTTTCCCTTCCCCAACTCCTTTCCAATCCTTGACTAGTTTCTAAGCCCACAGATTCCCACAGAGTACAGGTCGCTGTTTGCAAACCTGAAGCAACCCAGTAAGGGGCAGACTCTTGCCCCGGCCAAATAGAAATATGAAATAATTTCTTATCTCTGCACATTCCCTTATTCCTAAACCTCAACAACCTTTCTTTAATTTGTGAGGTACATGTATTTGCGCACATGAGGGGCCTCTGTTGTCATTTCAGAATTTTTTATTTAAATTAATGCAAGGTTAACACCTTTCACGTCCTTTCTGAGGGTTGAGGCAAATTTTTGGAGCTTTTTGCATGTCTTGGGAAGGGAAGGGAAATGAAATGATCCCCCCAAATTGCCTTTCTCTCCATCCCCCAGACCCCGAAATTTGCCCCGGGGAGGGGGGGATAGTTGGCCTTCCCTGGATGCAGTTGTCACACTGTTAATGAATATGTCCATTGTGACTTCAATAGACAAAAGAAAGTGACTTGGGGCTTGACTTCTGGGAAGTGGACTTGTTACTGGGTTTGACTTGATGATGGGACGACTGTTACTGTTTGTTCGTTTTTGAGCAGGTCTTGGGTGTGGAACTGAAGGTAGCAGTTTTTGCCGCAGGCATTGTGCTGGCGCTCATTTCCTTCGTCAACTACTTCCGAGTCATCCTAGGGGGAGGAGGAAAGGGCAAAGATGGATCCACTGTCGCTGTAAGCTCCCCTCAACAAGAGAATTTTCTTTCTCCCGCTCATTTGCTGCAAATTCTCATTTGAATTCCTGAAAACCTGAGTTCAGCGGCTGGACTCAGGTTTTTGGCTTGGCCATACCTGGATTTCCAGTATCATTCAGGGATTTTTTTAACAAATAAGCAACATACACCAGCAATTGGCAACTACTTAATGGCATTTTGGGGTGAATTATGTTGTCGATACACATCGACTTTCACAAGGTTGATAAACAATGTTGTAAGCCAGCCACCAAATTCGTCCTTGTCAACTTTTTTTTCAAGTATTGACACAGTTGCATACTATGTACATTATCCAGAGTACATCCAATAGGCCCTTTGTAAATGTGTTGCAGTTCATACAATGTATCTTGAGTGTAGGGTATTCACAAATTTCAAATAAAGTTTTTTGAACTAGCAAAGAGAGAGTTGATGTAGGACAGATGTAAATTAAACAAGAAGTACATTGTACCTTACCTGGAGGTTTCATCCTTAGGCACCTTTTAAAACCTGTTAAACTTTGTGAAAGCTCAAAGTAAACTTGAGGAAGCACCTCAAGGCAAACCTTGGGTTAGCACCCCAAGGTAAACCTTGGTTAGCACCTCAAGGTTAACCTTGGGTTAGCACCTCAAGGCAAACCTTGGGTTAGCACCCCAAGGTAAACCTTGAGTTAGCACCTGTGTAGTTTTGGGTTAGCACCTCAAGGTAAACCTTGGTTAGCACCTCAAGGTTAACCTTGGGTTAGCACCTCAAGGTAAACCTTGAGCTAGCACCTGTGTAATTTTTGTGGTCTCCTGTACTCAGTACTCAAACAAGTGAATATTTCTCATAATTAGGAGAACCCAGTCATCTCGATTCTACAGTCTCATTACTGCGGCAACGTTAAAGCCTTTCTTTTTCTTTTTTAGGACACTAGTGTGATAGCGCCAGCACTGCACATTGGTTTCGTGATTCTCCTGGCGGTCATCATCAAGCAGAAATCTCGCACTGGTCTCTATGACAATCAGCCCTGCATTTACCTGCTGACATTCGGGCTAGTGGCCTCCAAGATTACCAACAAACTTGTGGTGAGTCGATGACGGGAGGTTAGCAGTACCGTGGTCAAGTCCATCAGTTGCAACAGGGAGGACTGTTTTATACTGAGGAAAACTTCTGTCATGGTTTACTGAAATGCGTTATGACTGGAATTGAGACTACATGAAGTTATCGCTCACATGACATTTCTACTCCATTCATTAAGTTTCCACTTCCTGACTTACCAGCACACATCTGCTTGTGCATGAAGTGAGTTCCTAAAAGATTTCTCACATGACATAGACTGCAGTAGGTTTCCTGAAAGGTTGCTCAAGTGACTCAAACAGCAGTGTGTTCCTTAAAGGTTGCTCAAATCACTCAAATGTGAGTGAGATTTCTCAAAAGTTGCTAAAAAGACTCAAACTGCAATGAGTCTCCTGAAAGGTTGCTCACGTGACTCAGACTGCAGTAAGTTTCCTGAAAGGTTGCTTAAGTAACAGTAGTGAGTTCCTCAAAGGTTACTCAAATCACTCAAACTGCAGTGAGTTTCCTCAAAGGTTGCTCACATGACTCAGACTGCAGTAAAAAGGTTGCTCAAGTGACTCAAACTGCAACGACTTTCCTGAAAGGTTGCTGACATGACTCAGACTGCAACAAGTTTCCTCAAAGTTTGCTGAAATTTCTCAACTGCAGTGGACCCAGTACAATGCAGGTAGTTTCTCGAACAGCATCAACACGCCATCATATTTTAGCACATTTGAACTTGTCATGGACAACTCAATCGATTCCCCTAGCTCACGTGACCAAAACTGCCCAGGAGACAGTTTGTGAAACACAATTAATCAACCTGCCATGAATAACCCAATTAACTCCATATCCACACTTGTCCATTTCTCACAAGTTGGCTCACAAAACCAGAGCTGATTTAGACAGAGTGGACTGTTTCTTGAACACCAACTATATATGTTGACAATGCAACACACATGGACCTGCCGAGAACGGCCCGATCAACTCCCCGGTCCACTAATAATCCACACCTGTCTCTCTCCGCAGGTTGCTCATATGACCAAAAGTGCCATGGACCTGCTAGACACTGTTTTCATCGGGCCGGGACTCCTCTTCCTCAACCAGTATTTTGACACGCCCCTTCCTGAGCACCTTCTATTGTGGATTGCCCTGGTTGGAGATGTTTTCCTTTTGTTGCCTCCGTCACTCATACCATTTATGCTGCAGTACTCATGTAACACGTCCATACAAATGAAGCCATGCATAGTATTGTGAAACTTGCCAAGATGGGTTTGGCATTGTTTTATTGCACCAATAATTTTGATTATATGCAAAATAAACCGAGCTTCATCAATTCCAAATATCGCATATCTCTTTGTTCGTAGGTTTGATCTGTCACATTTATTGGAATCGGCAGAATATCGCTCAATGCTCATTTTGTCTCATTTTGAGTCAGAGTCCAGCATGAGCAACGTGTAGACCCATTGTTCCCCTCAATTAAACTCGGACTTTTTGTTCTTCTCATTTCAGATCTACTGCATGGCAGATCTAGTCCGCTACGCCATCCTCGTATGCCTACAAATCTCTGTTAATCTCGGCATCTATTGCTTCGACATCACGCAACGCAGGCCCATCCAAATAAGTGCACGCCCGGCTCTGAAGTAGCATATGTCCCATGTCTGCCTTTTTAACTCCGCGCTTCGTTTTTAAAAACTGGTTTTCGAGTATTAAAGCTTTTAAACAGTTTATTGTGTGGCGTAGATTTCTTGGTATACTCTGCAAAGGTCGAATTGTTGAGCTTGATTTGACTCTGTTTTGTCTCTGTGCGTTAAGTGAGTAGGTAATACACTCTACAGGCGCCACATCCAGTGCGAAATTATTGGGGGTCGAGGTTCTTTCGTAGGGGTGGGGGTCGAATTTGTTGATGTAACCTTTAAGGGCGGTGCCGAGGAGGGATAGGCTAAATTGTGGGTTTTTCAACACTGTAAGAGTTTGGGGAGATAAAACAATCCAACTTGATGTTTTTGGTCATGTTTCAAAAACGAAAAGAAAGAAATTTTGTCTGAGGCGGCGTGGCCTCCGTCGGTCCTCTCATGGATCCGCCAGTGAGTAAATCTTGCCGTAATGAAAGACAGGTACTGCCAGCCACATAACGTAGCAGTTGCTTATCTTTGACAGTACCCATAAGCCCGACAGTACCCATAAGCCCGGCAGCACAGTCGGGTCTAGCTTATATAGGGTTTTCATGGCGGCCATCTTCCAGGCTAGTCCTTTTGTTTCACAGGGTATGCTCAAGGGAAGTTGCCCTGTGGAACGACAGAACTGCCCCGCAAGATGGCTACAGCGGAAAGCTTCTCCAGGACAGTATCGATGGCCTGGCTTACGTGTGTGGGACCTACAATGTACACAGAAAAGGAGGGCTCGCAAAAATGGAGGTACCATAGTGTGCCATGGAGGTACCATAGTGTGCCATGGAGGTACCATAGTATGCCATGGAGGTACCATAGTGTGCCATGGAGGTACCATAGTGTGCCATGGACGCCCAAATGTAAATTGAGGAAATAATGAAGAAAACAGCTGTAAAGGAAAAGTGTTCGTGAAAAATTTCACCGGCTCAAGCTGACGCACTGAAAATGTACCACATTCTCCATAAAGTTCATAACATGTAGTTGAAGTCTGTGTTGGTTTCGATAGACCTATATCCAAACTTTCAGCCTCCGTTCAAAGTGTCTTTGTGTATGCCTGACATTCTTGGTTAAAGGTGCTATAGCTTAGTGGTTGAAACAATACCAAGGGTTAAAGGAAGGTACTCTGTGTGTGTGCCGCCGTTTCAGAGAAAGTTGGAAGTGACTAGACCTACTTCGCGCGTGAAGCAACCTGCCGTCCAAAGGAAACTTATGTTAATCTGTGGGGGGGGGGCACGTCACAATTAGGGCAAGTCCAAGCGTGTCATGTAGTCCGACTGTAGACGTTTTGCCTACCACTTGTATTGGCGACTATATCGTGCACAAATACATTTGTCACCTTCTGGCTAGTTTTTACTTCCAGTTCGTTCAACTGGACATTTTTCTCAGATTTTAAACCGGGGTTGTACTTTCATTAAGTATTTAGAGGTACGTGTATTATTATCTAGTGTTCTGATAGCTGCGTGGATTTTTAGCACTTTCTGAATTTTCTTACTTTTTGTACCGACGGTCAACCAAAGTTTTTGCAGCAAATTTTAGGAAAAACACGATTGTGACGTCAAAAGAGCACACCTTGCTGGTTGCAACTCGGGAGGGGTTCTTGGTCACTGACATCTCTTTATCTTGTACCTGGAACAGTTGTAGTCATGTGACTGGTTCCCTCCGCACTGATAGATGACTTCGGCCGTTACTGACCAACTGGTTCCAAGTAGTCGGCAAGATTGTGTGAAACGTTTATCCTTCGGGCGACGTTGGTCGAATTCTACAGTTTTTGTCGCTCGAACTTAACCAGTGCTGAAGATTCCGTTGTTTACCTCTCAGGTCCAAGTCCGTTTATCTCCCATAAAACAGGGTGTCGTAGTTATGGTTCTCTGCATGTGCGAGTCGCTGTACTGCCAAATGCAACTTATCATGTGGATGTCTACGCGATAAAGCGTAATTCAAATTATCTGGTAACATTTTGTCATCAATAGTCATGTACATAGTTTCTTCAGCCGAAACTATCGTACCATTTCTTGTTTCAAATTGGTTGTAATCATCAAGTTGGCTGTCGTTTTTTTTTTAACTAGTATTTAAAGCTCAAGAGAAATCAAGTATTGCAGTAATGAAACTTAAATTTCTGTTTTATGCTAAATTAAAGAGGTAAGAAATGAGCATGTGCAGTTTTTTTGGTTAAAAGGTACGGTAATACCTTATGTATTATAGGCCTACCTCTGTGTTATTCAGTGTATGACAACATTGCAGAAAAATGTTTCTGAAAATGAATTGTTTTCAAGAGTTTATTGCGTTGCATGCAATTCATATGGAATGGATCTTCTAATTCTCCGTGGTCTCTGCCAGACGACGCATTTGTGGAATGTCTTGGGTGCAAATGTTTGTACATGTTGTGTTTCGTGCATTGTAAACGGCTGGTCTCGACTTCTGCACGGATTTAAGGGAGGGTTAAAAGTTCACAATTGGCGTGCCTGCAGGGTACGCGAAACTTTATGTACATGGCAAAAGGTGTTGGGTTTTCCCTCAGCCCTCGTTCGACGGCCCGAGAATGAAGAGCTGCTACGCACAGCAAATGGAGCAGAGATCACTAGCGCCATGCTGGACCAATAGAGAGCGCAATGGTCTTAGCAATGGATATATGTGACGTCACGCTCCACCGACGAAGGTGAGGGTGCCCTCTTCCTCGAGGTGTGACGGCGGACGGCACGTACCAGAAAGTCTCTGAGCAGCTGGAGTCGATCCCTTGGGATGGACGTACCGTCCCGGTCAAAAAACTCAGTTAACAGGGCTGTTGGGCACCGGAAGGTCTGACGTGATGGCCCGGTGCCTCGTGACGTAACTAAAACAATATGTGACGGGCGATTTCCCGCTTTGGCGCACCACCGTCGACTCAAAATAGGCTGTCTAGTAAAATATACACTGATCATCATGACCTGTCACAACAAAATGGGAGTAAAGGCGCATCCTGTTCTTTCCTATTTTGAGGGTTCAAAGTCATATTGAAGTGGAGGTCAGTTTGGGGTTTTTTAGTATTTGGAAAGAGTAGGCCTGACCCGTCTCCTAATAAATTCCAAGTATTTCGCAGAATCACATATTTGAAAATGTCATTTTCTCAGCAATTTTGACGATAGCATTATTCTTGCCTGGTCTGAAATGTTGAAACAATGTCGGGAACATAGACGCAAAGCTGCCAGAATAATGCCATATTGTCACCTTATAGGCCCCTACCTTTACCACAAGTGTTCTACGTGGAAACGATCGGAAAGCTGTCTTTCTGCTGAATTCAAAAATACCAATATTACATGTACAGTTTTTGAAAATTCCGGCTTTCAGCTCAGTTGTGGTGACAACATATTTGCCTTTGCAAGTTGTTTGAAGCGGAACGTCTGATTTAGCCCGGTACTCAAACTGTCGACATTTGTATTTGTTGCATAGGCCCTATGCTTCTGTTATTTAAAAGCTAAAAGAAAAAAAAATGAACGATTTTGGTGCGGCGAACGAAGTTGAATGGGGGGAATAGGAATCGACGATCTGGTTAAGGGCGAAGTGGCCGTTCATTCGTAGTAGGACCACGTGTATTATTATTGTTCTGATAATCAAAGATCATATAGCGCCGGGTAGCGGCGCAAGATGGGGAACTTCACCATGAATACGAGTAACACGTTGTTATCACGTGGGCGCCATTCTGGTTGGACTACGCCTGCGCAGTGCCTGTCAATGCGCAGGCGCTTCGAGAGGCACGCACACACAATACCGTTCACACTCGAATGGCGCCTATGTGATAACACATTTATGGCTGAATTACCCATCGGTGCTATATCATCTTTGGTGGTAACTACGTGGGATTTTGAGCACTTAATTGTGTGTTATTCTTTGACTTTCAATACCGACAGCCAACCGTAGTGTAAGAAGCCACTTGTAGGAAAACCACGACAGTGGCATTAAAAGAGCAGACCTATACACACCTTTTTTTCGAGGCTGTTATCGCCAAAAGTTGCAGATTTCTTATACTTGAGGGTAATCAAGATAGAACGTGTCACGTCTTGTCTAAATGGAGTAGTACGCGACGCGCAGAATACTCTGCAAGGAGGCCAATAGGGTTATGCTTTACATGTCGTACATATCATGGGTACCATACTCGACTTCATTCAGAATTGATAACCCCCGGCAGTCGGAATTGTGCTATGAAACAAACACACACATTAGTAAACTTTGGAATACCAAAGTCGAAGCTTGATAAGTGTATACGTAAGTCTACATCACGTGTTTTATGTAAATTTGAACTTTAAAACTGGCAAAGGCAATATATTCATGTTCTAGCTTATCTGAAGATTAACAAATTCCAAGCGATTTTGCTGCAGTATGGAGCTTCGTATCAGCGTTTGCACAGCAGTCTTCGCTTCAATTTAAAGTTAAATTAATGATCTTGAATTTCGTTCTTTTGCTTGTTTCTCCAGCTGAAGTTGTGCATGCAAAGATGATCTGGAGCCTTGTCGCGTTTTGTCCCATGATGCTAGCGCTCTTCGTGAGTTGTCAGTCGACCGAGCCGGTGAGAGTGCCCGTAGTGACTCAGTTCTACCCGGCAATCGCCCAGGAGGGTCAGTCGTTGACCTTGTCCACGGTCTTCAACGTGACGTTGGCCAACCGGACCTGCAAGCCCACTGACATACAGGTCATAAAGCGGGTTTTCAGATTTGACGTGGCCGATATGATCCTGGCCGATTTCAACCGGCTGCTGGTCCCCGACTACCGATTGAACGTGTCCCTGGACACCAGCAGCAAGTACTTCTGGGTCTACAACTTGACAGTGCAGTGCGTGACACGGCTCAACACCAACGACATGTTAATCTTCGGTGGGTCGTGGGACTGCCCGGGCATCGACATCAAGCAGCAGTGCTTCGGGCTCCCCGTGAAAGTCGACTTTGCCTCCATCGACGCCTTGCCGGTCTGCGCTAGCGAGCCTACTGCCGTCAATGCCACCGCGAGGGAGGGACAAATGCCACCCCTACCTGTTGCTCGCTTCCAGGGATCGAACAGCAACAGTCGTATTCGTGAGGACTCAGCAGGGATAAACATCACTCGAAAGCCACCGAAAAAACTATGTCAGTCAGCCCCTGGAAATAAGCACTTCTCAGGAGCCTGATGATCGATCACCATATTACTTTCATCAACCGGATTAGCCATTGCACGTTACCGGGCCAAACTGCAGCTTCGACACTCGGATTTAAAAGTTAAGATTAGAAATTATCCCAACATTTACTGTGATTCCAGTTGTCTTTAAGCTTCCAAGTTGATGATTGATTTGTAATGCATAATTAGCTTGCTATCGTCAGAAGTTTAGAGGCAAAGATGTTAGAAATTCAAAAGTAAGTTGATTTTTCATTTAGTGCGTTCTCGAGCTGTGTAAGACTGACATTTTTCATGACGTCAGGGGTTGATATCTAGTAGAGGGTTGGCACTTAAAAAATGGCTTCAGACTTCGGAAAATTCACTTTCGGGGGGGGGCGATTTTGTTGTGTGAGAATTATTAAAACTATAATTGGTTAGCCCACCAAAAATTGAAAAGAAATTGAAAAATTAGGGACCACACGATAATCTAATCTGTGTTTCAGAAGTCTTAGGGGTGTTGGCGTGCATGTTATTGGGCCCCGAACAGTGCTGATTTTACACTGTTTTCAACGGGGCATGCATTAGGCCTAATGGACTGCACCCCTATGGTCGTGGCTGTAGCTACTTCCCATAGGGATGTGTGTAATTTCAAGCCGCGACCAAGTGATTCGGGCACCGTCGATGCTTCAAAAATTAATAATGGGAGGGTAACTAAATGAAACGGCGCCCTCATTTTCCGCTCTCATAATCCACTGAAAGGACATGTGTACGTCTTTGGGAAACGCATTTTGCAAAAATAATTTCTTTCTCCTTCCATGTTTGCTTTATTGGGAGAAACAGCCCAAGTGTAGCCTTTCAAGATAACTGATTAGCATGAGTTGCTTACAGGAATTATTCTGCCAATATCAGGAGAAAAAGGTAAAAATCTATTGCAACTATAATGGTTAATCTAGTCTTGGTCAAGACGTTGTTGTGTTGTTGATACGCGAGAGGGCGCTCATAAGACGAAAATAGCTGAAACGCACGAACCACAACTAGCCGGGCCACGTCTTGACCAGGGACTCATATTTGTGCTCAAACATTGACAATAAAATGCTAAAAAGTGTATGTGCTTGATCGATGTTTGATCGAAAATGTGTCTTACGTTATTTGTTAAAACCTCAACAAAAGTTGGGGAAGAAATGGAAATTAAAGGAGAGAAGCCTTGAAAACAAATTCCATCTTAAATGTTCCCCATGGGAATAGAATCACACCATACCGGGGATACCATTTAGACCTACGCATGAGCGGTCTGGGCAGTGGCTTGGGACAACGGGCCATGCCCGCCACCCCCTCCCCCGACAAAATAACAGGATAAATGAGGGAAAGGCGATTTATGATCTCGTTTCATTTGTTTCCTTTAAAAAGCATATAAATACCCTAAAATGTACCTTCATGCCTTAGAAAGACCATAGAAGGTTACATGGGACAAAATGTCTAAATGTCCCCCCCCCCAAAAAAAAGGTTCTAGTTTCGTCCTTGTGTCTGCGAGGGCGGAGCTTTTGTGAATAGACCTTATTTCATATGAAGGCTGTTTTTGATCATGTTTACTGAATCTTTTTACCCACTTCAATTATTCAACCCGGGTGGAGCCAGACTTTTTTGAGTTAAGTTCCGTGCCTAGTTTCTTTTTATGTTTCCAAATTTTGATTGAATCGTTTATATATATCAATCACAAATTTAAAATAATTTTAAATCTTAAGTGCTATTAAGTGCAGTGAACTTTCATGTCAATTTGCTTTCATTTTATGCTTAGGTTCCCAAACTAAAAGAAAAAAGTGGTGACCTCGCCAGCTTTTCGAAAAGCCTTGTGCAAGTTAATTTAAATAAAATCTGGTACACTGTGTTATCTGATTGCGCATGAACGTAACAAGTTAATTCAAACTGTTATGTTCACTTGGATTTCAAGAACCCATTGTACCAGATGTAATTCAAATTTAACTCCAAAAGGCTTCTTGAGTATAGCCGACTTGTGAACGGGATTGATCGAAGGGAACGTTGTGAGCACTGTTCTGAGGTAATTGTGGGTTCACGTCGTTGGTTGTAAGTGTCGGAGAGTGCATGTGCAGAACAACCCCTGAGAAAAGGAGAAAGTTCCTCGAAGGGTGATTGCATGCCCTGGGTTGTGGGTACTAAGTGATTGACTTGGATTAGCAAGCGATAATCTCCGTAACAGAACGGCCCTCGGCCAAGGCGGGTCACCCATTCAATGTCCGGGACAAGCAGGTTACACCGTGTTTCAAACTCGCTTGCGGCCCCGTCCCGGGCCGGCGATTGGCCGGCATGACTTCAGCGGGCGTCGTGGACTCAAGCTCCACGAGGCGGAAAAACCCCTCGAGAGGCCCCGTCAAGTCAGGAAAGATCAAGTGCAACAATCAGTCGCCTCCCAAGGGAGTGAGTATTGTGCTTGCATTGGGCGCAAAGGTTGAAGACATGTTTACTTAAAGACTTTTCTAGTGCAGGGAAAGCTGCATATTTTGAGGCCGCGGTATAAAAAAAAAACAGTGCTAAATTGACCCAAAAAAAAGGAAAAAAATAAGATTTAGCAATTTTCCTGCTTCCTTCAGTCGAAGGAAAGAAATACAAAAGTATCTTTTCTGAAAGCCGTGCAGTAATGCGCCGACAATAAGGGCACAATGCGTGGTGTGTAAGCGTATCCCCGGCTATTCCCCTAATAGTTGTGGGACCGTTCACCACCACCGCTGACTTACGAAATTCTAGACGTGATGTATGAGTGACAGTGGTTGGAGGAAGTCTCGATGGGGCTCGGGTAAAAGCAGAGAACTTTTTTTCCTGGTGTGCGCAGCTCGGCGTTTTGCACTTCAGACTGCCACAGTGCAACTGGAGGGTATTGGCCTGTTTCTTTCGTTTTGTTGGTTTGCTGAGTCCGAGAGGCATTCACCCCGGAGCGGCTTTGTGCGTCTTGGCACAGCCGTGGTGAAGCGGTTCTGTCCCCCAGGAACCAACTGTAAAAACACGGTCCCGCGACCCTGCGCCGCGGGCGACTAACCAACCACTCGGCTTTTCACAAAACTCACCACCGTTTCGGGAAACAAAGAACAACATACACCCCGCCCTCCGCGCTGGGCACACCGATTAAAATAAGGAGGGGGAAAAAAACTTGTGTAAATCGAGAGCTCTACATTTCCACCTCAACACGGAGTTCGAATTCATTGTTCGGTGTTGATTGATGCTTGATCGACAGTCTGTGGCCGGTTATTTAGCTACGTGTCGTCCCAGCACCCGGACATTCACTTCTTGGATAAGAGAGACCAAATCTCGGGAAAAGGTAAGTTTTCTTTTTTATATAATGTTAAATGTAATACTTTTCTTTTCATATTGCTGTATATACGCGAGATTGCAGGAAAAAAACCGTCTCAAGCCCTAATTTTCTGTGGCCAAGAAAAACGTTTCGAGTCCGTTTATCGGGCAGTGTTCAAAAGAACAGATGGTCATCGGCCTGAACTATTTTGATCCTGGTGATAAAATTGAATTTTGACCATTACAAAATGCAGTTGGTCAAACAGACGGCGTGCAAAAATCGCATTCGATCTGCTTTGAAACCTTGTTTAAACCTATGAAAGCTATTAATATGATTGTTTGGGTCATTGTTATTTTGAAGATTGTATAATGCCTAATTAGATTAACAGTGTGTTATTTAAACTGAACACGATGCATTTGTAGTGACACGGGAGATAAGAGAAAAAAAGTTAATGAGACACAAATGCAGCATGACGCGCGCGTTTTATTTCTTGAGCGCTCATCTTGGCAAGATCTAACACCCTATTGGTTGAAACGATATCTAGTGCGCGCATGCAACCCACGAGCAAGCGTGCTACCACTTCTAATTAGAATAATTCTAATCTTTGGATTAGCATGCACAGTTTAAATACTGCGAAAGGGTGCAGTGGTTCGAACAATTTCTCGAGGTGCCTGTCACAGGTAGAACGTAATTATTGCATTCCTCTCTACTTCGCCTCTTTGATTTTACGGGTGAAACAATCCTCTTTGCTCAGCACTGCCTAAAAAATCCCCAAAAATCCATGCATTTCCGGAATAATTAAATCTCAAAGAAACCTTCGCTTGAATGAACCCCTATACATTCGAGTTCCCCCCAAAAAAGAAATTAATTGAGCACGGAATATGGCGTTCCATTTACCGTTAATTAGAACGTGTTTTCAGAGAAGACTTCAAAAGATTCGAGTAATTCGGTGACACGTGATCGGCAACACGTCAATCAAAATAAAAGCTATTTAAACAGGAGTGTTCTAGCACACAACGGTTCGTTGACTAGGTCGATAAAGAGATGAGATTTTTTTCATAAGAGTTTGGGGTCGCAATCTCGCTTCGTCACGGGGGTTTGAGAGAGGCTGTGAGCAAGTTGTGTCATGTCTGGCGGGTTGATCCCGACGTCTAGTTGGAGTACTCGAGACAATCTGATCTTTCAGGCAAGCCCGGAACTGAAAATTTCCCCGTCCACATGTGTTGCAGATATAACTGAGACGCAAAAACATTTTTGTTGAAAAGAGAGCAAAAAGAGGGAGATAAAAAGGAAAGAGGCTCTATACTTGAAGAATTCAGGATGTTAGTTTTTTTATGTGTGTTAACCAAAAGTTACCAAAATAATAATACCAAAGCTTCGTTGATTTCCTGACAATTTTTTTTTTTGCCTTGAGTGGGCTTTACAAATACAATCACTTTGATTTGAACCTGCTGTTTTGTTTTCCCGAAGCGATTTATTTATTGAAATTTAAATCTAAGGTTGTGCTGCCATTTCGACCTTTTATGGTTGGTTTTTGTCCTGTTCCTCGTACCTTCGCATAAGTTGTCTTGTGCGTTTAACTTCAGGCCCATTTGTCGACTCACAAGACATTAAAAACTTTTGCCCGATTATACTGTTGGCTATGTATGTCGAACTTTTTTGCGAAAACAGAATTTAAGGCATCACAATCAATTACCTCTTGCCACTTGCTCCAGATCTGGACGGTTTCGTTAATTAATTACAAACTAAATAGCAGGAAATCCTATTAAAAACACCGTGAAGCCGACGTACAGAGTAAAACACTTTGAACCCCCTTCTGAAACAGTTTCGCCCGCGGCATACTTAGCCATTTAGACTGGAAGGCGTTTAGGAATGTATTTAAATTTTAAGCGGATTTCACCAAGCTGAACGTGTACCATGGAAAAGAGATTAGCATTTAAACCCACTCCTATATGCATTTCAATAAACAAGTCGTAAATTCTGACGATAATGGATGGATACAAAATGTGTTTCAAGTCTAAACGCCGTTTCTACCGTGTATGCCAAAATTGTTAACTGTATTTCCTCGTGCAGTCTATTTTTGAAAGCAATAATTTGCTGAGGCGTCCAAGGACGTTTGCAGGGGCTGCTTCAGGGCTTTGAGCGAGCCTCCTTTTCTATTTCTTTAAACAAAAACCCTGTCTCAAGAACTATCTTCAGATGTTTTTTATTTGTTTTAGGGCCATTCAAAATGTACAAGATTGCTGGATTTGACGACCTTTTTATTTTTTCTTGGAGGAGCATGACACTCGACCCTGGAATCCGATGTCATTTCATTCCGAACCCCCCTTCTCGTAATCCTGGTTACGCCCCTGGTGCCTGTTCAAATCAGGCGTGGTTTAGCTGTCCGGGGAAAGGGTGTGGCTGTTGGAATGAGGGCGTTCCCCTGGTTTGCAGGTTCCGGGCCACGCCACCTCAACCGGAAAATAATTCGAAATCTGTGATGCGCTGTCATGCATTCTAGGGCAATTTTAGAATGTACTTGGAAAATGCCCAACTATGCGAGTGTCATAACGACCGCACGTTAACCGTTTCAAAGCAAAATTTAAGTGAGTCAACACTGCTTGTGATATTAAGTTTGAAACCAGCTGACAGAATGTCACCAAAATATCAATTAATAATCGCCATTTTTTAAAGAATTTACTGACGGTCCTAACAGCTGTTTGCGCATCGCCACGTGCACATCTACCAGGCTTCTGGAAAAACAGGAAAACATGAGGAAACTTATACTCGTACTCATGGTGCTGTCAATTTGCGTTGCCTTGGCAACGGCGGGCAAGAGGAGCCGGGACAGGAAAGACAGACGCAGGGACGGGAAAAGAGGTAAGGTTCTGACCTTTGAGGGGGTGACCTCTCAACGCTGGCAACGCAGAAATGAAAATGCGTATTTCCAGAGCCCTTTGGTTTGGCAGCCGGCCCTCTTTTTTTTTTCTTTTCGATTTAGACGGGTGGAACTTGTCAGCTGTCACGCTTCGTTTTCATTGCAGCAACTTTTGTTGACGCGGAAAACTCGATGATAGGGGTTTCCACGGCTACGCTGATGGATGAGTTTTTACTGTGGGATACACATCGTCAAGAAAAAGCTTTCTCTGTTGCGGAAGCAAACTCAGAAATCATTGACGTGTGGGACAAAAACTTGTTATCTAGCACAGTCACGGTTCGTAGCTGAAACTCCCGTCTGCGGGAGCAAAGGGGAAAACAGATGTTCAAGCAGCTAGGCTGAGGAGTGTCAAACTGATGAATGCTTGATCTAAAAAAAATCTGGTTGGAACGAAATTAGATTTTAACAGAAAAGGCTGTACTATCGCGTAATAGATTTCTTTAAATATTTTCTTTAATATACTCATCCAGTGTCAGTTTAAATGAGTTATGGAGTAAAGTTCAACGTGTAAAAAAAAATTTAAAAATTGACAACCTATTTTCTTATTTTGCAGGCTGAATGATTTGCCATGTCTTACAAAAAATACTAAGTTGATGTTGTATGGGTAGAAACATTGAATTTGTTCCTTTATTATCTTTTTTTGAGATGTAGCCAAATGTGCCAAATGCAAGCAGGTGAGTGCGGTGTTGCGTGGTGCTGCTCCAGTCGATGAAACGACAGAATTCGTGATTCCTAATAGTCGATGTCTTGTTTCTCGATGTGGTGACCAACGAAGCTTTCATGCCGTGTTTGATAAAACAACCTCCCGCTCTCAAAGAAATATGAAAGGGCTGTGTAGCACGGTGGTTAGAATATTGACAAAAATATAACAGTTTCCATGAGAACTGAATCTGGTTGCTCTGACGAAGGTACCCAGTTATCGAAAGGGTGGCAACAAGATAATTCAGAACACTGAATCTAAATACCTACCCACTGAAAGGTGTCTCCCTTTAATCAGGTCAACAAAAGAAGTCGGTCGTTCTCATTGGTTGGGATGACGCGCGTCTGAATCGGAATGATCGATGTATCAACACACAGGGGCTTCGTACGCTTCATGACGTTGAACAAAACAAGGCCAACCAATTTTTCATCACTTTGATTTCTCTTTTTTCCCCTCGCCATATATTCTCACATTAACCTCGGCATCATAATTTGTTCCACTTCCTCTTTAATTACGCCCCTTCTTCAGTAATTTATTCCCCTTCCTGATTTTCGTTAACCCCCCCCCCCACCTCTAATGGTTGCTTCCGAGTCCTATGGAAAAAACGCTCATTGATATCGGAAAACCCTCTTTGCTGATAAAGCGTATGTATTTCTGTGTGTCAGCTTCCGGTTGTCACGATGAGACAACTGCTACAGATAAGTGATCTGATGTCAGGTTAAACTTTGTCAAATCAGGCGTACTTTGCGGCTGATTTGCGACCAACTTTTCCCTCTTCCCTTCGTGAAGACTTTTCCTGTTAAAATTAAGGTCAAGCCGAATTTCACATCAGGGTTGGGATTATTATGTGACGAGGATCAGTCTCTAACTGATTCTAAACAAGTTTAATATCTGGTTTTGAAGAAAAATCTCAAAAATTAACGAGGCGAATCGATGATAACTTTACTTGAATTTACACGCTTCTCATTAGATAAATATGACCGTCTCAAAGGTCATTCCGTGATATGGAACAAGTTATATAATAGGAACAGTCCATCATAAGTCGAGCCACACTTTTTTATCGGACATTAATTTACAAGACTTAAGTCTGGTCACGGGTAACGGGTTGCAGAAAGGTAACATTCCTCCGTCTCCGTTCTCTTGCATCACCTCAAACGTGACTCAAGACGGAAAATTAACAAGTTTCTGAGTAACTTGTGACCTGCTACAAAATGTCATGATGGATTCTGCTTCACCACTAGTCTCCATTCAATTCGCCCTTTTCTTCAAAACATCGACTGGAAGACTTCAACATGCTTCCAGAACTTTGGTACGCATGCTTCCAAACTTTGGCTAAGCATGCGTACCTTTTCGTGGCTGTTCTCCACGTTCTCTTTATTTCTAAAGTCCATTGAAATATATAGCACCGATACTATTGACCGTCAAATATATATTATATGGACTATAATTCGGTCATAGTAGAGCGTGTTTTCTTGCACTATGGTTTTGTTATTCAAATTTGCGAAGGGCGAGACGCGGGGACGGTGAACGACGCACGTAGGGAAAATAAAACTCTTGAAAATAAAACTCTTGTTCATTTTTAGTGACGCTGATCTTGCTACGTGGTGCGACAAGGAAGAGCAGGGATCACTTGGCATATTAATTTAATTAAGCAACTTGAAGGTCCATTTTGTCCATCTGCAAATTACCGTCTAAATATAGCGATATTTGCGAGATGTGAAAGCGGCCAAACAATGTAACTGTGTCAAAATATATTACCCACTCATAACAACAGAATCCCAAGTCGGGGAATTCGGTTCGCCTTTCGCCGTCACCAAATGTTGCCAGAAACCAACGACATATGCAGAGATTTATTTGCAGTGGATCTAAGATTTCTCGCTGAGGAAATCCAAACGTCACGTTGGCCGCTATGATTCATTAATGCAATAAATGGCAACTAGTACCCCGGGGGTTCATTCTGCAGGAGTCGAGGAAACAGAATCGATCCATGGGGACGGAAGACATACTTGACCTCTGACATGAGTTAGTACATTATTTATGACTTGGACTGGCGTGCAGTCTGGACCATCATACAAAATTCGCAAACAGCAGCAACGATACGACGCTTCCTGTACATGTACGCACAGCTTCCATTTCCACGTATCTGGCTTATCCCTTGCCGTGATTGAAAAGAAATCACTTAAATTACGTTTGAATCACAGGTCTTTCAAAGTAAAATAAAATGGAAATAAGCTTTAGCGGGATAAATTTGAATAAAATCTGCCGCACTGGGTTGTCTGATTGCACGTTTTGAATTTCCCAGACTAGAAGACACTATTGCTGTGATTCGGAGCAAGCGGTTGCATAGCAACCACCATCTCTGGAATGGACTGGTTCCTTTGTGCTCTTCTTATCCATTGAAAAAGTGTGTACAGTGCAAGGCGTCTCTCTATCCGCTCCGAGAAGGAATAAAAGAGGGCATGTTTTGAAATGAAATCGACAGTCGTTTTGTGTTTTGTATTCACCGCATAGGTGCGCAAGTTTATGCGCGTTTGACGCGGAGAACGCTGAGTAGGCGCAACGAAATAACTATCATTAATCAGTACCATCTGTCCGTCTTTTGCCGGTGAGGGTGCTCTTCCGCTCAGGGCGGATAAATAAACAATAAATAGCCCCGAATCACATGCACACAACCACAGTTTGCCCGCGAGCGTCGCAGACGGCGTGGGAATTTTCTGCGGAATGCCCACAATGTTGAAGGGCCTGTACTTGAGGCAGCACTGTTTAATACTGTAGACACATTCTTGTCGATGAGAGCTTGATAATAATGGACAGAATTTATGGGAAATGTATACCGGGACTAAAATGTACCAACAACAGAATTCCCAAATCTCCAAGGTTATTAACCCAAATGGTGCATACCTCGTAGGTTATTCCATGACTGTGGGGGTAATTTACCTCGAGATGAGACCACACGCGCAAGTCTTCATCAGTACCCAACCAGCATTCATTTTGGACAAGTGTAAATTTGGACTTTTGAGAAACTTGTCTCACGATTACCGTGACAACTGGGGTCTTTATAGAAATCAGACAGGCCCGTTTAGCGTTAATGCCCGTCATTGAGACACCCCCCCCAAGTGAACTTGTCCATTAATGCACGCTCAGTGCACGCGGCTGATTCAGTGAGAGTGTAAACTGTAAATTAAGACCGTAACAACAACACTCTGCGTTGGAAACGCCATGGATGTACATGTGCTTATGAATATATTAAAATGTGGGCCAAGATTCATAAAGGTCGGACGGCCGAAGTCCCAGGGGTACATCCCCACCCCCACCTCCGGCTATGTGATGGTCAGGAACCTCCTGAGTCCTTTAGCTTAAAAAAACATCGCCCTTTTAGAATAAAAATTGTTTCTTTTGTCGACTGCAGTTTAAGTTAATGATGCATGCTCTCAAATATAATTAAATCTTTACTTTTAACCTATTTATAGGCAAATATAGGTCTGCCCCCCCCCGAGGGGGGCTGGGATGCCAAATTGAATATAAAAACACCTGCCTAATAGACTCACGTTATCGAGTTCCACTGTTGGCCGACTTCCATTTTTTGCCCGCAAATTGGGAATTACTTAGAGTAAACCGTGCCACCTGCCAACGATCAATCAGACGAAGGTGCGCTTGGTATCTATGTGGTCAGACTTAGTCAAGAAGTATTTTTTTTGGACAAAGCGTCCAGACCGATTTGTGGAAAATCTCAGGGTTGGCGACCCTCACGAATTGGGAGCGAGACATTTCGGTTTATTCTCACGCTCCTCAAGAGTGGATCCATGCCCCCCCCCCGAAAAAAGGGGGGAAAAGACAAATCCGAAATTGTGTGAAAATAATAATGAAAGAAACGCAATTTATTTAGCTTATTTCATTTTCTTTCCTTCAAGAGGCGTGTAAGATGGTGAGCCCTAAAATGTAGCCTCATCCTTCGAAAGGCCATAAAATCTTACATAACAAATTCCCATTTGGGGGTCCCCCCCCGAAAAAAAAAAATCAATGATCTGCCCTTGACGTTTTAAAGCTCATTCAGGACAGGTCTGTGTTCTGCCCATACTATCCAAGGACCAGATCGGTTGTTTAACAGCGCATACCGTGTACGAGGCTAATCGAGAACAGCTACGCGCGCGTGATAGTCTGTCCTATCAGCGCAGCCGTACACTGACTGACTCAGGCGCGCGCTTTGTTCCCGCGAGACCTTGGGTTTTAAATGGCTCATTCCTGGTAACTACGCGGATTTGGCTGTTGTCGCAACAGATGCTACATGTAACAGAAAGCTGGCAGGGCAAACCGTCGACTCGGACCCGGCTGTGAGAATTGCCCCCAGCCCTCCCCTGCGTGGGCGTTGCGAGGGTGGTTGGGCGATCGGGCGCTTCCCGTACCACCCCCACCCTTTGGAATAAAATAGGGGAAAAGAAAAAAGGTAACAGCCACGAAGAAAAGAGAAAGGGATGAGAAAACCTTGCTTGAAAGTAACCGATCGGAATTGACCTCCTACCTTTTATCTTGCGCTTTTGAGTCATTATTACACGTGGTCACTGCAGCCCAACCTATCGGACTAAAACTATCGGACTCTATGAAATCAAGTATTTGGGCAGTCAACACTCAGTGCTGGATATATACCTGTATTCTCTTCATCTTGCACGTTGGATTCATTATTATACGGGTGTCATTGCAGTGAAACCTTCCGGACTAAAACCACCACAGGACTCTATGAAATTGAGGAGTGCTATATCATGGAGGAAGGCTATATCAACCTCGTGAAAGTATGGTTAGCACTTTTCGAATCACTTTACAAACCACTCAAAATAAGTTTCACTGATACATAGATGTACTTATCTTGGAATCATTCCGAAATCCCCCTCACTACAGGTTGCTAGTTCATTTGGAGAATCATGAGCAACTTTGGATTCAAATTACGATGCCAATTTTGGAGTTAAGTAATAACATTTAAGAATTTCTATCTGTCACCTCAGGACTGGTATGACCTAATATCATAATATAATAGGTCTAATATCAGGAATCCTTCTCTCTGTATTTCCTTGTCACAGTGACAGACTGTATTTAATTGCAAGCAAAAATTATATGTATTGTTAGCCTATTACTGGCCCTGCTTGTCCGGCTAAGATGCAGGCAGTAATCAGGCAGTTTTTGATGTTTTCTATATACTCGTCTGACTCGGCGGCGACCATAATTGAACACTTCTGAAGTGCCTGAGTTGCAACTCCTTCTGTGTCCTTCCTCTATGATCACACGAACTGACAAAAGGGAACTGTTCACATCGTGGTGCGTTCCAAACCTTGTATTTAGTACTTCCATGCACAATGCAGAAATTAAATATTATAACTTGTCGATGTAATGCATTAAAATAAGCTCATTAAATATGTAGATATCGTAAAGAAACCATGTTTTATTCATTGCGTGTACTCAGAATGCTCCACGTCAAACGCGCGTGAACTTGAGCGTCTATGCGGTGAATGCGTACCAAAGGACTGTCAGTTTCATTTCAAAACACACCCTCTTTTGTTCATACTCGGAGCGGATAGGGCCGCGCTGATTGTGGGCGTGCGCTGTTGAAATACCGAACTAAAGCTCAATTGTCTTCCAAACCTGTTCATTTCCCACACATGTGGTTTAAATTCAGGGACGAACCTACATCCAAGTTCAGGATGTTGAGACTCCATGCGCTGACATTTACAAATCCCCACGGTTGGCGCTGATCAAAGAAGCATCTAGCGAGCGATGACAAGTTCAGACGGGGGTTAAGTAACTTGCCACGGCTGGCAGCGGCGCGCGGTACAGCCCACCTCCCTCAAATAAAATACCGGAGCGCACTTCAAATTTTAACAGAATCTTTTCCTATCAAGGGCAACTGCACCGCCCCAACCTAATTGGGGGGGGGGACTTTAAAATTAAAACACACACATTTACATTACAAATCAATAGCATATTAATTTTTACATTTTTTATTTTATTTTTTTTATTTACCAGTACATTCATATTTATCTTGCTCTTGGAAGTCTAATTGTTTTATCATTAATGTTAATTTGTTGCGTTTTTATTTTAATTTTTAAACACTGGTCTCTGTCATAAATTACGCAGAAAGCAGTGTCCAAACACAGAAGAGATTATTATTTTAAACATAGCCGTTGGGAGTGTAAAATGTTAGGTGTAAGTTTTACAACCTTGAAGATTTAGTTTTTTTATAGACAAACATTCTGTTAGACGCACTGCATCATTACGGAGAATTTTTTTTCAGTTCTCGAAAAGGACTACTTTTTCAAATGATAGAATACAGATCAGTCGTTAACTGATTTTATTTTTCAGCTCGGCCCCAAGCTGACGCGGCTCAGCCCGAGAATCCACCAACCGAAGATTCCCGTGGCACTAAGCAGGAGCAGGCCCCGACTCAGCATCCCTCCAACCAGCCTGAGCCCTCAGCCGACGTCCAGCGGCCCACCGCCGCCGAGGACCGGTCGAGCCCCCGGTGCAGCGAGTGGCGGTGGCAGCCGTGCGAGGTCCGCCAGGGCCGGTCTTGCGGCAAGGGCGTGGAGCGGGCCACGCGGGAAGGCGAAAACTGCAAGAAGAAGGAGCAGGCCCGGCCCTGTCGCGTGCCGTGTACAGACCGGGAGCAAGCCGGGAACGGAGACAGCAGTGAAGGCAGAAGGAAAGGAGGTAACCACGGAGATGGCAGAGACCGCGGTGCTACCGGGAGTAACGATGAAGGAAGGCAGAGGGTACCGAAAAGACAGCGAGAAGAAGCCCCGGTGGAGCTCGAGGAAAACACCGGAAGTAAGTTTGTTTTGTTTTCTTGTTAATTGCTAATGTTATGATCATGTCATATCATGGTGTTCTTGTCTTTGTCAGCCAAATACAGCGCCCTCGTTTGGGTCATGCATAAGAGCTGTATATATGTCCTTCCCCGCTCAGAGTGCAAATACAACAAGAAGGACTGGACAGATTGCGACGTGCAGACTAGTCTCCAGACCAGGCTCTACCTCCTGAAGAAGGGTGACCCTGATGAGTGTCCTGCCAAGAAGATCATTACCAAACCATGCGACAAGTACCAGCGGCGACTGGAGAACAAGAACAGTACGTATGCATACCCACTTAACACTCCCCGGAGAAAGCAGGGGGGCAGAATCCGCTCCTTAACTGTTCTCCGATGTCTGTATAATATATATACATGTACATGTACCTCATTTAATCGGATCGTACACGAATTTTCATCGGGTTTTTTTAATTAGTAGCTTGCGATTTCATGTCAAGTTTTTTTTTAGATGAAAATCCAACATACCGTTTTCGTGAACTATAACATAAAACAAAATTAAATCTATGCTGAGTTGAATCGAAACGTCATTGTACTCATCCCATCTCTATTCAAGCCCCATTACTAAAAGTGATTTCTCGTTCGACCGCTTATGTTGTGAGAGTTGAATCCACCCTTTCCAGCAGAAGATCTAAGAAAACACATTTTTTTCAGCCTGCCTGCGGTCATAACGCCCCCATCCAACTCAGCCACAGCCACCTTGATTATTTTCTTTAAATTCCTCTGCCTCCATCCTCTCGACAACTCATGATTTGAATGGAGTTTATAATCTCAGTGGCGGGACATGATCCAAGACCTTGTGTTTTTTGTTGGGAGGGGTGCAATATTCAAGTCAGTTTTCCTTCATGGCAATGGACAGCGTCGGGAAGAATCAGTGAGCAACTCCCCCACAGCTGGCCCGAGCCACACCCGCTTTGAATTTGCCGCTTTCCCGTCGAAGACCTGGGGATATGTCTGGAGAATTTGCCATGGTTCAAAACATTCAGCACAGCTGGCAGCATGGAGCATGTGTAGGCTGCGTGTACGACTCATCTCCGTCGCGTCGTTATGAGTTAAGACAAGATCTTAAGGCTACATTGCCTGCTTGCCTCACCCTAGGATTGCAGACAACCAGACTGCAATAGATAACAGTGACAAATACCCCCATGCAAAAAAGAAAAAAAATCAATCAATCGATGAGGAAATATTCTCAGATATTTCCTAGATGTTAAATATTTACATAAAAATCAAAGCTCATTTCCCTTGTTAATTTCTCTTCATTGTTCTGGGTTGCCGATGAGTTATGAAAATATTTTCTTCAACAAATAATCACAGGTAGCCGTGAAACTGATGCCTACATTCCAATTTGAAGGGTCCCTTTTTGTCCATTTTTTTCCCCACAAAGATAGGGTGACGGTAATGCTGGTAGCTTCGATCTTTCCCATTTTACACACCATCCAGTCTACATGCCACAAAATGCTATAAAATAGCAGAGAATTTGAAGGGCACACAAATTATTTGTGATTTTTGGGGCCTATTACTCGCCTGCAAACCTACCGTAACGTATGATAACATTCGGGCTTTCTGCGATCCATTTCCATCTGACCACGCCGCGCATCACGAATTCCCCTCGTTGCTACGAAATCCCTGAGCTTTAGCTAAGCAGTCATCGCTGTCGGTATCATTCTCCGTGGTCAGTCCCTCCTACTCACAAAAAACAACTCCCCCACAGTCAAAGTGGACCAGTCCAAAAAACACGAACGTTTAATTTGGGTGGGCATCCCAGGCCCTACACCCCAGGTAAAGGAGGTGCTGCTGAATGTAAGAGGAGATTAGACGTTTATCAGGCGTCAGTATCGAAGTTCCCGCCATGAAACATAAGTGGTACATGACTCAGCATACAGTGGTCGGGCCTGGAGTTTGAAGAGTCACACTGAACACTGCTGAGGGGACGTTTTTCTGTCAACTTCAAATTGCATGACTCACGCTCTTAATTATGTTGTAAGGAAAGTCAAATTGCCCTTTTCGAGTGATAAAGCTTTGAAGAACGTTTACGTAAACATGCTGGAAAAGTGTTTATGGCGAACTCAGCTTATCAGAAATTTTCTTGCTGTTTTGTAGCATTGGTTATTTTAAGATTCATTAAAAACGCGGAAATGCTTTTCACTCAGATCACGCAAAATCATTCCCGAGAATTCAAGGCTGGTAATATTACCGGGCTTTCTCCATAGCTTTGCGTATATATGATACCTTTCTACATTTTCTGAGAGTATACTTCACCTTTTACTTGGTTGTCGTGCAAAACTGTTTGGACATAGTAATGGTCTCTATTTCTTAAAAAAATTGCGGTTGGATGATTTCGAGGGATTGATTTTTGCAGTGTTCTTATAACCTTTTGACTAGGAGTTCCTTGTTTGAAAACGTCAAAAAACGTGCGCATGTTGATGGAAATATTTTCCAAGAATTAAAAACTACCACCTTCTTCTTAATTTCAATGGAAAGAAGGTTTTTAACATGTTTGTCGTTTTGTAACACATAATAATATGCATAAAAACAATATCCACTACATGATTTCTTTAAAGTCATGACTAGGGGCGTCTCTCGTAATAAGCAGCCAAGTTTCCTCAACAGAGAGTGGGGTATTTTATGGGCGGGGCGGGAGGTTTGTTCGTTTCCTCTCTGTCAATCAAACCACACAATCGGTAAACCTGCAGGGGTAACGTCTTTATCAGTTTCATTGAAAGTCTGGCTGTGAGCCTCTACAAAGTCTAGCCGCAGACTCTTTTGTTTGTCCGCATTTGCCCTGTTTACAGACGCGCCACAGGCATGTTTTTCAGTCATCGTTCCATAATTCATAAGTTTTGAGCCGCGCCGGCGTCGACTTGTCGCCGCGGCGCCGGTTTGAAGTTGGCAATTTGAAGTTCATGTGATCAACGAAAACTGAATAAATGCACAGGTTGGGCTTAGTACCTTAGACATACATCAACGCTGTGCTCTAACGGAAACCACGCCCCTTCCTCCAACGATTATGGCTAAGACCGGTCGCGCGACTCTGCATGGCTACGGCTTTTAAAATTGATACACTGCGTTGAAAATCTGTAGCCGCTCGTTTACTTTGAGACAAACAAGCTGTGGCTAACCATGGGTAGTCTGTCTACGAACCTTAGCTGTCAGGACAAAAATTATGGCAGTCACCGATCGCCAACCGGGGGTGAAGCGCCTGTTATCCTTGCCACTTGGATAAGTGATAAAAGTTTGCAGATAATTAACTTTGCTTGGCGACAGCTTTTGCCTGAAATTCATTTTTGCCCTGAACGCGTTGAAGAGGTAGGCACTTTCTTTAGGTGTTTTATAATCAGTCTTGTCCAGCTGCGTGAGATGTAACAGAAGCTCCGTGTTCAGGGCGGAGCTACAGTCATCTAAAAGAGGCGTTTTACAGTCACATATGGAATAAATGAATGAGACATTTCGGTATTCCAATAGCGCATGCCCCAAATGTGTGCTCGAGGTCATTTGGGAACAGTAGACGCGCGCGCGAGGTTTGCCCAATCTGCGAAGCCATACCTCGACTTGCGCCCGTGCTCAATTCTTGCCTAGCCCTGACTTTTTTACAATACCAAACTGATTCATTCGTTATGGACAAAGCACTCCAAATCTTGTCGGCATGAATCAGAGAATGGGAGGAACATTTTTGACGGAGTTTTCCTTCCTGTGATGTCACAGATTGTGAATACGTGCTCGGCCCGTGGAGTCTTTGCAACGCCACCACCGACATGCGTGAGAGACACGACACGCTCATCGACCAGACCAAGCAAGAGGCCGGCTGTCGTCTGGTGAGGGACGTCCACCAACGATGCGCAGTAGGTAAGACGGTGACAGGTTTCTCCTCTACCCCCCTGATCGGAGTCTGGAGTATGCCGATGACACGAACCCGGGGAACGAGCCTGTGTGTGGGAAAGCACAGGCATTGGCCTCCGCTCGTCCCCACAGCGTTTACTGGGCACAGGGATGGGCTGATTTTTTCAGGGTGTATGACGTCATTTCTTCAAACCCTTAGGCTATTGGGTAAAGTTCGTTTGTGCTGTTAACACAGATCAACAATTGCGTTTTTGCGTGACACGCGGTTCTGATTTTTGTACATTGATAAAAGCTACCCATAATGCTTTGTGTTCCAGTGTGGGCACTTCATTCCTCAAAAAGGTCAGCATTGATTCTACCCATAATGCTTTGTGATTTCCTCTGAATATTTTGTACAAAAGAATAATCGTGGCCACAAGTCTTACTTCTTTTTCGGAGATTCCATGTATCCACTTTTTGTTTCGTTTATTTACTGTGTTTAGCGATTCTCTGTGTGCCGATTAGTCCAGTATCGAATATGTATGCGATTGTAATATGTCGCAGCGTGGTCATGTATGGTGGCTTTGAAGGAACGTCCACGGCAAATAAAATTGGGAACATTTGAATCATTAGTCACGATTCGCAGTCACATGCTTTCTTAATTATGTGTTCAAAATCAGATAATTTCTTTTACGACGTATTGCTTTTTTTAAACTCTTTGTCCAAAGCTTGTGTTTATACTTGGGGTGAGTGGAGCGATTGTGACGAGGAGATCGGAAAACGGTCGATAACGGGCACATTAGTGAGGGAAGACATAACCCCTGCAGATTGTGACCAGACCATCACTCGAACTAAACCGTGCTATGGAAAGAACGGGACTGGTGGGTATGCCATAATGAGTTGGACGCTGGGATGGTTTGGGTTGGGATTGGTTGGGTTGGGTTGAGATGAGTTTGTTTCTGCATGTGTGAGTTTGCGTGGGTTGGTTTGGATTGGGATGGGTTGGGTTGGGATCGGTTGGGTTAGGATGCGCTGAGATGGGTCGGGGTTGAGATGAGTGAGTTGGGTTGAGACAGGTTGAGATGAGTGGGTTAGGTTGTGTGGTTGGGTTTGGATCGGTTGGGTTGGGATGGGCTGAGATGGGTTGGATTGGGATGGGTTGTGTTAGGTTGGGTTACAACAGGGTAGGGTTGGTCTTGTCAGAATGGGTAGGGTTAAATGATTGATTATAATTTTGATTCACCCCTGGGAATATTTTGAAAGACTAAATTTAAAAGGCGATTCTAAAACTTCTTTTACAGAAAAATGCTTCTTCGGTCCTTGGAGTGGCTACGGAAAGTGCGTCGATGGGTACAAGCTTCGCACACGAAAGCTTCTTGTCGGAGATAGACGGTGCGAACTGAGGGCGAGTCACGCCATTCCATGCAAAGGCTGATGGTCAAGCTAATCACCGTAGGACGCCCTCTCCTGACTCAAAAATCAAAAAAATCCTTAGCAACAGCGTTTAGATTCCTGGGGCAACTTTTTACCCACAGAGCGAGCCAATAATCAAGTTGGTGGTTTGCCACAAGTTATTGCAAAAAGGTAAATGTCAAAGAACTTTCTTGCTTTCTGTGTTCTGTGAATCTGTTCACATTCGTCATAATAATAGACGACCTTTTTGGATTTTAAACGCTGATGGCGCCGTTTATTTCAGTGTGACGAGAGGTGCAGCCTGCGGAATTCCATCGGACGCGCGTGTAATTGTGTTACTTTTGTCAAAACGTATTTCCTATTACTGGTAATCAATGTATATAACAATAATAAAAGTCATCATGTTTGCAGATTTTGTTTGCCTTGGCGTAATAGAAGTAGTGTTATGAACTAGTTTTTCGTTTTATTTTGTTTTGCTTCTTAAACTTCATTGATGATCGCCGTAACTATATATGTATTACTCATGTACATGTGAGCTTTAGTTCACTGCAGAAGCAAGTTATTGTAGAATTTAGCCAAGTTGCTAATGATTGAATGAGCATATTTCACAATCATTGTAAATACCGTGTTTAACTTTATTTCCAGCCTTGCTTTGTTACTTACTTTCCTCCACTGTGTTGAAATTAGCTGCCACATATGTTTTACATTATGCATGGTACCGTGACGAAAAAAAGAGGAAAAAAACAGTTTCACATTACGGCAAGAAATTAATGGTTGCACTTGACGGAAAAGTTCAAGCACGATTGCTAATTTCGTAAATATTTATTTATTATTTTTGGTACTTTTTGTTTAGTATTTTTCTGTTTTGTATTGTTTTATTTCTTGTTTTGGATACTGACCCGTCATTTCTCATAATCATTCAGTAAGTCTTGTTTACAACGTCCGTTTAAAGGGATCAATCTAGCAAGCCCCGCCCATTTCTTACGTTGGCGCTTAGCACGTGTAACTCTCTTCCGGTGCCCCACGTTTTACAGCCGTGCATGCATGTCAAACATAAGTATCCCGACTGTGACAGGTCAGAAAACAATATGGGGCGGGGCTCAGTGGATTGATCTTGGCAGCAGTCAAATGGTAGCGAGATCGACACAAGATGACCAGAGATTCCGATCGACGTTACATTTTGACTTTGGAAACTGGCTTTGAAAATCGAGCTTTGTGGTGTACTTCGACCCACCCCTGACTTGGGTTTGAAACTTATACTCACAGCAAAAGCTTGTCATGTTGAAGAGAAAAAAGTACTTTGTACAACGGCAAGAATTCACTTGTCAAGTTTTCAGTTGGTTTAAATAGGCTGTAGTGGCGGAAATTCAAGTTGTGCCGGCAATTGGGGGAGATGGCGAAATGCGAAAGTCGGGGAGAGGGGTTGACTTGCTCGGCAAGCGGGGGGAGGGGATACCCTCTAGGACTCTATACAGAGGTCGATGTTGATGATATCTGGATCTGTGACTCTGGTAACACGGGCATCCGCATCACATCAGATGAAGTATTCATGCAGAATCATACATCATCACAAAATGGGGGGGGAGTGATTAGCCCATCCCTCAATTCAAAAGTTATCGTTAGGCCTACTCTGTTACTACAGAGCTATAATTTCATTTCTTTAAGGAAACTGTTCCCGGTAAAAGTTTCAGAACTTGATGATTTTTGTAAAAAATTTTCTTGTCCAATTTTCTGATGCATGTGTATAGCCTTTCTCATATTTCTGTACATTTTAATTAAGAGCATTATAATAATAACGATACTAATCTTGAGATATTTGTCACGGCTATTTCATGTTGCGTTGTGGCTTATTTTCCCCCTAGTTAAGGTAAACTGTTCTAAAACGTGCAGCAGTTTCAAGATGACAATTTTTTTCTTTGAACCACGTTCAGACAGGATTTGTTTCTTCCAGACGGGAAAATGGTGTTGATATTTCCTGAGACTGAGAGTCCTCCGTGAGTTTTGTCTCATCCGAACCTCCTACCAGCAGCTATCAAAGTGCCTTATAATTAAACAGCCGTCTGATGTCAAAACAATTGTTGCACGTGATCTCATCATGTGACCTCGAAAAGTAGCCTGTTAAGGTCTTAATTCCAGCCCCCAACTAGCATAATGTAATACTGCAGGGTGATACGTTACCAATCTAAATTTCTCTTATCGTAGCGCTTGCGTATCACAATGTGGTCGTGATGCGTTCGAGACAGATCCTGTGTGTGTGTACATCATGTTGAATTTGTGACAATCGCAAGTTAAAACCAGAATGAAGTTTCGTCAAGTACTTGCTGTCTTGGTTTTTCTGTGGGCTGATTTCGTGATCACCAGAGGCTGCGGCACTACCACACACATAGAAATAGGTGAGCAGTTCTCCTCCATCTTTGGAGCAATTTTGGGTTAGATCTGTGCAATACTAGTTCCAATACAGTGTGATTATCACTGATGTCTTCATAACATTATACAATGATAATTTTTCCTCCGTGCATACAAATAGCCTGTACATGCTGTAGGCCTAGTGACATTGTTCTTGTGAGTTTATATTCACAAGCATGACACGATGGATTCAGACGCGTAGAGTAACACATTGGACCTTGACCTAGCATGCCCAGTGCGACCTTCCCCCTCCCAACGGATTACGAAAATAAAAGTGAACTAGGCCTATCTAATTTCCTTCCTCCTTGCCATGGCTTATCCGGAAGCGACTTAATACTAGCCCGTGAAACCTGGTGCGCTACTTTTTTTCAGTAGCTGGGGTGACGAATGATTCATGAAGAGGGGACAATGCAAAACACCATTTAAGACATTTCAAAAACGGGAATCCCTTACGTCGCTTCGATAGCTTCGTTGGTAGTGATTTGAACTACAGATCCATAGTCCCTGGTTCGAATCCGACCCATTTGTGCTATTCATTTTCCAATTTTATCATTGTGTTTAGGATTTCCTTTTTCAATTGATGCAGAAACAGAGTCCAAGCATGAACCCTCTAAGAGTCTTGAGAAAAATACCAGACCAGGTTTCACGGGTTAATATCTAGTCACTCCCGGCTTATCCTGCAGTTTTAAATATTAACTTGTCTTGGGCATGTTGGGCTCGATGTAAAACCTGAAAGGATGATACGCGTAGTTTGAAATGAAAGGCTTCCCTGGGGATCAAAGCTCCTAACATTTCATGGCAGGCCTCCTGTTATTTTTGGATTTTTAATGAGTGAGTATTAGGGGGCCTATTTATAAACTTGCTACTATCATGACAATTGCACTGACTACTTTCTCTCTCTCTCTCTCTCCTTGTTGGTAGGGCACAGAGCAACAGAATATTTTGAAGATGATTCAGGCGGCGTGGATTACAAAAAGGTTGCAAAGTCTCATCCCTTTTGATTGTTGTGTCGGTAGCATTACTAACACAGAGCTTTTGATATAGCTAAAGTTCATTGCACCCCGCCTCAAAAAAGCTGTGGTCCCACATGAACAGAAAAAAAATATTTGGCCCTCTAAAAATGTATTTCTACTTGTTCTTATTCAAGATTTCCTGCAGCCTGCAAATCTAACCAAATTTTACTTTCAGTTTCCTGGTGATGACAAGGCTTAAAATCTGTAAAAACTAATTTGAAATTGAAGTTTTCAAAACTACTATGTTTTAAGTAGTTAACCTAGATTATGGGCATGTATTTGATTTTGTTTTTGAAAGCCAAGTAAATGTGACTGTTTTCACAGTTATGTATTTGATGAAGTCGGTTTTTAATTTGGTCAAGGAAAAGATGTGGAATATTTAATAGGGAGCATCTCAATAGTCGGATGTACATGTATCCTTGTTCCATTGGACTGTTCATGCGTCAGTGGGAATGACTCGCCCTGCGCGTAGGCCATTTTGAGGCAGCGTTCCAATGGGAGTGCCGTGTCCCTCGTACCGGTCGATCAGCTGCCCAGTCTGCAAAAAGAGCAAGGCGTTCCAAATGGAAGGGTCTGACTTTTCTGAGTTGTGAGATGCTCCCCTTGTATACCTTTTGAGCAGTCATGAAACTGTGTTTGTAGCTAGGGCCATGCCGAGTACCCCGGTACCCGATTCCATTTTGTCAAACTTTTTACCCGAAACTACTTTGGGAAAATTTTGATCCAGCATTCTGGTAATGCATGCACCATTTTCTATTGATTACTTAGCGGAAAGCTGCTGGAAAAAATTCAAATAAAATATCTTTTTAGACCGGCTACTGACAATTCCCTGTCGTCTACATTGGAGATGAGGATGTTTACATTATTTTGACACTCAGGGAAAGAGATGCCCTTTGTTTAATACCAACAATTATGTGGGCGTGGACGAGTCGGGACAAACTTTATTTCTGCATTTTGCTCTGATCTTCACAATATGTACGGGTACCCGCCCATTATGGGAATCGGGTACCCGGTTCCCAAAGTACCCGCAATTGCTCACCACAATTTGTCGCTCAACTCCCCAAATGGAACAGAAATGCCATTTTTTTATCCGTTCTATTAACATCACAGCTTATCTTAGACAACCAGGATGCATTTCAAGGAGGAAATCCATACCCGGATGCTTTTTACCCCAATATATGCCAAGGAGGTAGGTCAAACATCAAGTTCATTAATGGCAAATGTTTGTGAGTTTGTGGTATGAGTAATTTCATGAGGTAACAGATGGAATGTTCCATTTTTTAATTGAGTGTTCCGTTTTTATCGGATGATAAATGGAATGTTCCATTTTAATGCGGAACATCGCATGTCATAGTTCACAAAATTACAACTTTTCATAGCACTTATGTGAAACAGCCACCCCAGTCTTGGCATCACTTGTGATTGGAGCAATGGAACTTCCATACATACGTTGAATGAAACTTGTTCGTACCATGGCTGTTCTGTGCATTGAAACAAATAATTCAGTATACAAATAATGAATAATTTATTCATTATTTAATTCATTTATTAATTTATTCAATAATTTTAGTGGAATGGTTAAAAACAATTTCATGAGGCCACAGATGAAATGTTCAGTTCCACCAATCAGGTAACTTGGATAATTATCACACAATCAACAATCCACCAAACAGATGATAGGAATTTTAGGGTGATGATTAAGATATTGATAACAACTGCTCTGTGAAGCCCAAATTTTATTTCAAAACTGATGGGTTTTCCCATATCAGTTTGAAATCCAAAGAACTCATTTTCAGTTCTCTCATTTTCCAGATTTGGCTGAGGACAATTATTCAAGCCATAACCTCACCCTTACTAGTGCAAATATCCTGCTCCCAGCTGTTGGACCTTGTTGAGTTGGTAACCTTTTTGAAAACAAATGTAACTTCTGCAAATAGGTTTTAACATTTTTTTCCTAGGTAAATTTCACCAAGTGTCAGAGGACACACACTGGGTACCTTTTCTCAATGCAACCATCAACTACATCAGGAGGGTCTATCCTAAACCGTGGGACAAGGTATGCCCCTCATCAGTTAGGTTAACCCCACCCCTCCATGCTCACACCAACGGCAGCCAATTCTTTTTTTTTCTGTTTGGCTAGCAGAATTTTGTCACGGTCAGCATTCAACAAGAGTGATAGATCTTCAAAGACTAATCACTTATGATGTATTTCCGATTTCATTGAAAGCATGTGAAATTTCATCTCTTATACACAGGAACCAATCTTCAGATTCGCAGAATATGCGTTATTTTAGACTTCCAATAATTGTATTTCTCAGTAGGTACACTGTACCTCTGTCTTTTTAGGACATTTAAAGTACAGAAAGAGAAATTCTTTTTTCAAAGCTGAAATATGTTTGAAAGTGTTTCCCCTTAATCATTGAAAACCAATTTATGCCCTCGCACTGAAACACAAAGCTGGCAAAGTTTCTGGTGTCTATGTAGTTATTTTACCCTATTAGGGACCCTGCATGTATATTACTTATTCCACATTATTTTATGACAATTTTTAGACGATCTAAAATCCCTTCTTTGTCCAGCATTCTAACATAAAATCTTTGGTTGTTTTTGGGGGGATTTACTTTTATTGTATCTATGTATGTAAATTTTTTGTTGTACATGTAATTGTAAATTTGAATGCTGTCGGTCTTAGAACAGTTTTATTCAAATTTTTGTGTGAATAGATAAACCAAATCAATATATATATTGTTTCTGTCCAATAAATAATAATAACAAAATAGAGCCAATGGCATTTTTGTCTTAGAAATATTAAATTTTACTCTTCGAAAAATCATGAATTATTTCTGGGATTTCTGTGGGAGCCTTGAAATCCCCATTTACCAATTGTTGTTTCCCGAGTTGAAGCCTCTGTCCTTGTTCAATTTGTACTTGGCAGGAGACAGAGAAGTTGGTTGTATTCATGCTGGGCTTCACCTCGCATCAGGTCGCTGATGTGTCTTGGCACAGTCTCGGCATCGACCAAGGATTTCTGACTACCATGGGAGATGTGAGCAAATGAAAACTCAACATTTTGAACTCTGAATACTGTCAACAAGGGCAGCAAAGTATTACTGCTATAGAAAGACATTTTATACTGTTTCCGTTGCCCAAAAGCACACATATGTGTTTCTTGCGCATGACTGTTACAGATTTGTGCACATTCCATTGAAAATGTTGCTTTATTAAAGCATGCCATCTCTTGTTTGTGCATTTAGATTGCAGATTAATTTGATTTGATCTTTTAGCAGTCACAAGTTTCTTAGATAAAAAAAATCAACCACTTTAGTTTGTCTAAAGGTACCGATATCTCTTAATGCTGAAATCACGTGGCTTTGTTCACAGGTGAATTTCCATGGCAATTACGGCAATGCCCACTCTGTCGGAGATATCGGTAAGAGCCATCACTTCATGCCTCAACTAGGATGTTAACAACAACCAGGTTCCTCATTTCCAAATTCGAAACCGATTTGTAATGCTCATGTGCTCCTTCTTCTAAACCTTGGCCTCGGTCATGCCAGCAGACACTCAAAGTTGCAGACAGATGGCAAAATTGAACTGCCAGCATCCATGTTTGCATCAGTTCTGATAAAGCATTTTGCACATGATTCCATTCATGTGTCACTAGGGTCTATACTACAATGCTGTTTGCTTATCTTATTTTCTGCCACACTGAAGCAATTTTTAAACATGGACAAATTTATATTTTCTTAGCCAGAAAAAGTCCTCAAAATTGTCACCATTTTTGTCTTTCCTGTCACCAGGTGGAGACATAGTTGGGACCTTTGAATTCAACCTATCCTATATAGACACCCTGTCGGAATGGTACGGACATGAACAAAATCTTAAAAGTCTCAAAATCCTGCTGAATAGAGTTGATGGCTAAATGTAGACATAACAGTCTGGTGCTGGAATGTTAAATGTATGAATAAGGATCAGAACATTAGGATGCCTGACCTTAATTCATGTTCTAATAGAACTTCAACAGGTATCACCAAAATCCGAAAACATCTTAATGAAACCTTGAGCTGCAATTTTCAAAATAGTTTCATGCTGTGAGATTCCCCTCAGCAGCCTTGTGACACTGTTCCATATAAAATGTTCTGCAGCTTTGCATCACCGCGTACGTTTGCGCAAAATGGCCAGCTGCTCCAGTCACAAATTGTGACTTTGAAAGGAGGCCATGTCCAAAATGGCCTTCCAGGTCTGTGACTATAGTCAGTGCATCTGAATTTTCATTCAAGCTAAAACTTAGACCTAGTTCCAGACGACGGATTCAGAAGCAGTCTTAGATTGACAAAGTTGAGGAAAGATATGTTTGTTTTTTCTTTTTAGGTACATACCCACTAAAGATCTCGTTGTAATTTACAAAGAGCTGTATGGACGTGACATTGTCGAAAGCAGTCTGATTGAAGAATGCACTGCACTTTTATTCCTCGAAAGGCAAGTTTACTTTTGAACTAATTGTTCACATTTTTTAAAACAAGAAGTAAAATCATTACTCAACACCTTGCTACTTGAAGAAGTACATATGATGACGTCCAAATGAGGGAACTTTAACTCTTTAATGTTTAATTTGAAAGAAACCATATAGGGAAACTGACTAGGTGCTTATAAATGATTCTAAAGATGAACAAAGAAATTGACTGGAGTGGGGTTTGAACCTGCGACCTCTGGAATACCGTACCAGTGCTCTACCAACTGAGCTATCCAGCCCTATGTCGATGGCTCTTCCCATTTGCCAATATCTCTGTTGTGGGGGCGTAGCAGGTTCAAATCCTGCTCCAATCAATTTCTTTGTTTATCTTTAGAATGATTTATAAGCACCTAGTCACCTGTATCCTCCTTGAGTGATCCCTGTTCACCACTTCCCAGGTTGTATTGTGTTATTGGGGTGTGATCCCTGGCTACATGGTGTTTCAGGTTTAATGGCTTCTGGCTAGCGCCCCCTGAACAAAGATATTGACAGTTGGGAAGAGCCACCAACATAGGGCTGGATAGCTCAGTTGGTAGAGCACTGGTACGATATTCCAGAGGTAGCAGGTTCAAATGCCACTCCAGTCAATTTCTTTGTTAATCTTTATAATTTAATTTAACAGTAATGTCTTTTATCAAGAAGTTTTAGCTGCAGCTTTTATATTATGAATTTATTGAAAATGTAGCATCGAATTAAAACTAAAGCAAGGCAGTCATTTTTTTACGTTAAAATTATGTTTGGTTTCTACTTGCAGACTTGGTGAAAAACTAGCCATCTCAAAGGTACGTATTGAAAAGCACGGTATTGGGACATGTGGCCTAGTGGTTAGGGCTTGTACGTGTAGCTTCCGATTACAGGGTTGGGGGTTCGAATCCAGCTGATGGCAGCATGGTGCGATCTGGGCAAGTCACTCTACCCCTATGTGACTCTCCACCCAGGAGTAAATGGGTACCTGTGAGGGCAGACACGGGTATGTTTGAAGTGATTGCGCCGAAATGGTAGCATCAGGCTAGTATACTTCCCAGGGAGCGGAGATGGTTTCCAGGAATGCTCAGACGTTGTGAGCCCAATGCGCAGCGATGATAGTATATTGGTAGCTTAGAAAAACAGATACTGTTAGACACTGTGCCAAGGTATAAATGTCAGGATATTGTTATTATTTTCAATTTTAATTATCTCGCTTCTGCACGCATAATTCTGTTGTTAACCCTCTTACGCTGAAGTCACTCTTTGGGTCACTTGGTAAACACCTCAAAGAAGCACAGCTGTGTCGTGTTGTGCACTGCAGCAACATGCAAGAGAGTGACCTTGGGCACTTGTGCATATTTCTGCTCTAAAACTAAAGGAGGGTTAACAAAAGTTTTTCAAGGAAACACTTAAAAATTTCAATGAAGAGTAGATTTTTCCAGCAGAGAATCGGCTGAGAAACTGTTGTTTTCTGAAGTAGGTGAATCATTTTGTTGTCTGTGGCAGCAAACCAAGACAAAAGTTTTGCATGGCAGCACGATCGGATTCTTTGTTTTATGTACGACATTTTATTTCATTTCTCTTGTGCTTCCTATTTGTGAAGTTGTTTCCAGATTATGCCAGGAAGTCCCCTTTTCTGGTCGAGCAGTTCCAGTCCTACTTTTTAGGCGGTCTAGATGACATGGCGACGTGGACCACCAATGTTTGGCATGAAGCCATCTACATGCTCGACAAAGGCACAGGGTAAAGAGGTCAACCATTTTTAAAAAGATTTTCACAATCATACGAAGAGTACTCTTTTCCTAGATCTTACCCGCTGCAAAGGTCGTAAAAACAGTTATATCTGTACTAGTTATGTATGTGAGAAGTGTCGTGGCAGCCAAGACCCCCCCTCCCCATCCCGAAACAGGTTTGCTCCCTCATGAAAATGGTGAAAAAAAAACCTGTGACCCCCAGTGTGTCTTTGTCTGGAAGACACAATAGGCTCACCATCACTTTGGTTTGTTGCAGATCAAAGAGTTGTTAACTGAATTCTTTTTGGGGGGGATCAGTCGCTCAGTCCATACAAAAAGTCCAGTCTTTAGCCAAGCCACCAGACACTCAAATGGACTAATAAAAGCATTCCTTTGTCATTGTTCGACCTTGTTACTTGCTACTTGGCTTGTATTATCAAGTTCAACGATGTCACTTTGCCGACCGCTTGCCGATTTTGCCTGGTACCCTGGATATATTTTGTGCTTACGCTACGAGGGAATTTCAACTGATGATCAACAAATCATCTTACTCGGACTTGCTCAAAGGTGCTTATGACACATGTCATACTTTATTGAGAAACATGTATGCTGCCCTCTGCTGTTCATGCATGGATGCAATGGATCACAAGGTTATATTTACACACTACAATTTTTTTGTTTACCAACTGCAGTGCTTGTAGTCTACCCAGAAATCCCATCTACCTCAACTGTACCCAGAATGCCACAGTGGCCAATACACCGTCATCAGATGCTGATGCTTCAAAACTTTCTGGGCTTCACACCAAAGTTGACCTCCAGGGGTTGACCCCTGACCTGGTTCACAGGCGGCAGACAACGAGGGGTGTGTACTTTTCACCGGCTGAAACACTGAAGGCGAGTTTATCATTAATCAGTTGAATGGCTTCTAACTTGACCGAAGATTTCATAATTAACTTGTGATGAATGGACTCGCCTTCAAAATTGAGTTGAAACTAAAATCGTTCATTCTTGTTTTAGATCAGTAGATTTTTGGGGGTAAACAATGTTTCTGAATTCCCACTTTTCCCGACTTGGAAATTCATTCAGATTTTATTTGTGACCGCCCTTTCACCAATATTTTCAACCCTTCAATTCTTTCTGAGAGTTTGTGCTGGGATAGGGTTCCAAGCCACAACCTCTCGGTTTCTGGTCTAGATATCTTGACCCTTCCACCACAGAGTTTGTCGAGGTTTGCTGGCTTAAGAGAGAGAAAATTTCCTTGATCAATGTTTGAATATGACTTCAATGAAAATCAATCCTTTAACGGTGTTATTTTTTGATTGTTGTGTTTGCAGAGAAAAATTCAGACTCTTATCCAAAAGAGAACCACAGCACTGAAAGCATTGCAGTCACGTTCCAATTCCACCAATCTGAGGTCTTCATCATATCTGAAGTCCACTTTCACAACGGCAAATTCCTACGCCCATCTGGGATGGTACGCTGTCTGATTGGTTTCAGAGTTGATCTCATAATGCAGAACACTGGCTTGGTCACCAGGAAATTACTTATTAGTTCCCTGATAATAAAACATGGTTGCACCGACTTTGAACTCTGAGTTGTCTCACCTGGGAATGCCCACCCATGTACAGAGATGCTGAAAGTCACAAGATCAGTCCATTCTAGGTGGACTGGTCTGACTGGAGGTAGCACTGGCCCAACATTGAGTGGCTTGGAATTCTTGGGATACGTGGAATTCTCAAATGAGGATACCAGTCCACGTGCACTGATGTTCCCAATCAATCGTGGACGTTAAACAAAAGAATTAATGACCGTCCATGATTCCCGATACGTCCACGATTGCCAAACGTGTACAAAGCATATTAGAGGCCTTCCAAAAAAGTTAAAGTATGAACAAAAGAGGACAATAGGAACGTCCACGATTGCCCAAAAAACACGTTTGCCTGTGTATGTTGACAGACACATTGAAAACAACATCCCTAAAAAGTGGACTGACCCACCGATCAGTAGGTCCCAAATTTGAGTTAACATGCCTGTCAAGTTTTTCAGGGGTTGGGTTGAAGGAGAATTCTAAGCAATTAGCTTTGTTGGTGATGGTTTCTATGAAATGTTTCTTTATTCCTTTTTTGCTGTTTGTTTTTTTTTGCGACAGGTCGATTCTCACGGCCGACATCAATGCAGACAAGATGGACGATCTGATCATCGGGGCACCAGGTTACAGTTTGGCTGGTAACCCACAGAATGGACGGGTCTTTGTTGTGTTCGGCCAAGAAGGCGGCTTACCAGAGCAGCTTGATCTAGACACAATGGCAAATCTGACGCTGTCGGTAACTAATATGGTAAGTCTCCTTTTTTTTGCCTAATAAACAAGCCTGCCTGAGGTATTGTTGGCCCATTTAGAATTTGTTTGCATTTAATTATTTCCGTTAAATGTATGTGCACAAATCATTTTAAATGTTCTTTAGTCCGTCCAGAATGTCTGGTGATGTGATGTTGGTATTAGCATTTTATTAAATGATACAAACCATTGCTTCATTTCTCAACCTTTTTACAAGTTTTCAGTCTTGCCGAGGTAATTGTTATTGAAACAGCCTAAACATGAACGTTTCATGTTTTTTTTCAAAACTTAGTCATGTTCTAATTTTGAAATTAAACTTAATGTGTTTATGATGGCCAACAGTTATACAACAGCTTTTTTGATTGGCTGCTACTAGATGACTAATTGGCTATTGGCCAATTTTTTAAGTCCATGTGACTTATCTGAAAGCAAGTAAATTCAAGATTAAGATTTTTTGCTTCATTGGAAAAATCTATTTTGATTCAAGTTTGATTCTTGTAGCCTTTTATTGCCACAAACACTCATGGGTCCAAAATTTATTTTTGGGTGGGCTAGTTTTCTTGTTTCTTGAATTAATTGATGTGTTTAATCGGCAGAAAAACAGTCATTTTGGAACTGCCATTGCGGTTCTCGACTTCAATCAAGATGGCTTGGAAGATCTTGCCGTGAGTGCGCCCTCCACTGGCTCTGCGAGTCTCAATTATACAGTAAGTGGTTGTTGCCATGGCAACTGTTCACATGGTTACACATTTCGTTGTCTTTGCACCCATGCCCAAATTGATGGGATTCGAACCTCAGATGTGAAAATGAGGCACCAGTGTTCACAGATATCATTTTTAAAAACATCTGCATGGCTTATAGACTGCTCGGAACGCAGTGAATTATATTGACATAATAGTTATGTCCTTCAATATTGAGTTTTCATGGCCAGCCATCTGTGAGCAAGTTTCAAGCATAGTTGGTAAAAAGTTTTAATGGCACATTTTATCCCCATTGTTTTAAAAGAGGTAGAGTTCTTTTTTGTACATATTTTCACATACCCTGAATAGCACATTTGATTAAAAATGTGTTCCTTTTGTTCTTAATTTGTCATTTTCTAAATAAGGGTGCAGTGTTTGTATATTTAGCCAAATCTGCGGGGGTGTTCTACCCAACGCCAAATGTTAGTGTGGTGTGCAAGGTGAGATGTAATGACTTTTGTTAATTCTATTAAACTCCCAGGCATTCTTTCAAGAAGCCTTCCTGAATCCTACAAAATCCTCCACTGTGCAGGAAACCAATGTCACCCTCTTTGTGCTTCAACTTTCAAGGGGCATCAATCCCCATGTAATAAAGTAACAGTGGCTGGGCTCTACCTTCCTCAATCCTACAAAATCCTTCACTCTGTAGGAAACCAATGGTACCCTCTTTGTGCTTCAACTTTCAAGGGGCACCAAGCTCCAAGTAAAGTAACAGTGGCTGGGATCTGCCTTACTCAGTCTTGCAATATCCTCCAAAACCTTTGGTTGGATCTTTAAGAAACTGGTAGGAATAGGCCTACAGGATTTCAAATGGTCGCAACTAATTACATTATCTGTTTCGGTAGCTAAGCAGAAGTATGGAGGAGAGAGCCTTCCTAATAATTCTCATTTTATGGAAAAATCTGTCTCTTTATTAATAGCTGCAAAGTTATGACAAGTGTCGCAAATAAGTAACCTTCAATTTTTTTTTCCGTATTTAGTCAAAGTATTGCAACCTTGGCTGGTCACTAGGAACGGCCGACCTGAACCAAGATGGCTACCTTGACCTCATCATTGGGTCACCGTTTGTTGGCAACAGGCAAGGTCAACAGCAGAGTGGTGCCTTGTGGGCCGTGTACTCCAAGAAGATAAAACCTGGTAGAAAACGTTCAAAAATCTTTCTTTCTTGTACATTATTCGGAATAAACATAATTATCTCGAAAGTATTCTTAAGGCCTTTTATCCTGCATTTTGTTATTTAAACGTTTCACACTTGTTATGTTATTGACGTCACTGTCTTTTAAGCTGAACAATTCCCCAAATACTAAATAAAAATAGTTTTCTATAGCAGATAAGGCTTTTGCAGCAGCGTTGTCTCGTTACTGACGAGGTTTCGCATAACAGCTTAAGTGGCACTTGGTCAAGCGATGAGACCTCGCATATTTTCTGTGAAGCCGTTACAAAAAAATTTTCACACGATCATGGCTGGGATTCAAACCCATGACCTATTTGTTTGTGGGTCATTCTATAAATCTGGGATCCAACATGCGACAGCTTTCTGTCCCCGTTACATCTGCCGTGTGTAGTTTGACAATGAATATATCATTGAAATTGATTTCAAACAATTTTGATTTGTTTGACGGGTGATTTTTGTTACTTAATTACTCTTGGAAATTGAAAGAATGTACAAAGAACTTACGAAGTCGCATGCAAGATGAAATAGGGACAGGAAAAGATTTAACCCCACATTTAATATAGAATTACCCTTGCGGAAGCTTCTTAACCAATATTCTGTGAAAACCGAATCATCTGCAAGCATAGCACACTTATCAAATTTTTGGTTTTATGAACAGGAAGAAGACTTCTATCTGTGGAAACCAACGGGACACTTTTACTTGAAGGAGAACAGGTGAAATGAAATGGAAATTGATTCATGTTTTTATCGTTAGTAGGACAATTTCAAGAAACGTTATATCAGGTTATATTCCTCTAACCGAAACTGTACGCCAAAAAAGAAATGATGAATTTAAACAAAATACTGGCCATTAACTGACAATAGTAATGTAAATTGTGTTTTTGTCGTTTTCCACAGCAATATGGTTGGCTTGGGTACAATCTAATGATCGAGCCTAAAATGCAAGGTCAAGGGTCGTGGCTTCTAGTCTCCCAACCAGCGGTACGCATATGTACCAGGTGAGTCCTTTTTCTGCGTCAAACAGTCAAAATAACAGTAACTTGTGTTTGATTATCCTTGAAAAGTCAGCTCCTGGCTTTTGTAAGATCTTGATGGCTTGAGGGCTGTACGGCCCGCTCACTGTTGCTGTGCATGAGCTTCAATCAATGCTTTATGGGGGATGCATGTATTTCCCTCCCATGACCCTGTTGGTTATGGTTTTGTTAGATTTTGGTGGATTTTTACTTAAGCTTCAGATGGGCTTCAGATTGTCATGGGACGCATGTATCCTCACTCATTCGCTAGATATCCAAAATGGAAAAAGTTTCCAACTTCTTATGCTAAGTTTTGTAAGAACTAATTTCAAGAACAAACTGGATCTCCAGAGGTGATCATGCTGCCAAACATTACATGATTCTGCAAAGTGTTTTGTCAATATCAATCACAATCCAGCACACGTTTTTAAAGCCACTTTACTTTCTCATTTTTTTCACTGTCTTGGTGTCTAGTCCTGACTGCGAGTTTTCGCCTGACGACATCCAAAGTGTAGGTCGGCTTTTGGTCTATGACACCAAGGATTTAACCAAACCGGTTCGGAATATTACAGGACAGAAAGCATTTGGTAAACTTGGATCATCATTTGGTGTGGGAGACCCTTATGGAAACGGTGAAGAAATGCTCGGTGTTGGAGCAGATACTGTCAGTGAGTTTAATTATTAATAGAATATGTCAAGTTTTGGAAGGTTGCTTTTTCTCCTTTTTTTCATTTTTCAGTCAGATGTACACAAAGTTAACTGTGCTTTATTCATAGCATTGCAAATCAATCACTTTCAAATCACAATCCAGTCACAAGTTGATGACCGGCCTATCACCTGTCATTCACGAGCCGATCACAAGTCAATTACACGCCAATTACAAGTCAATTACAGGCCAGTCACAAAGCAATTACACGCCAATTACGATCACAAGCCGATCACAGGTTAATCACTAACCAAGAACAAGCAAAGCCCAAGCTCATCATGGGCCATTCAGAGTATAGGCCATCCGGAAAACAATCCCATCTCTCAAATTAGATCGAGTGACCTGTATTGAATTCAAATGTCTGAATTCTAAATCTAGCAAGAAAAAAGTCACTTGTGTACAAAAGTATAACATTGTTATGGAGGGCGTTCTTCACACTATTGAAAACATTAAAAGCCTTTTCTTCTGCTAATCGTAACACAGAGGTGTAAACGTTTTCTCTTTTATGAGATCTAGTTGATTTGATGAAAAAAAACTCTTACACTTTTTGGTTCTGTTTCATGTCCTTCACAGACGTCCAGGGAAAGGTTGTTGGTGTTTCAACCACATTTACGCAGGCTGGTAACGTCAATTTATTCAGCCTCTCTGCTGCAAAAGATGCTGAAAGTGTTTCTGACAGTTACAAATTTGGACCAGCCAGCGGATCGGAAGCCTTGTTTGAAGGGGATCGTAGCTTGGGACGATTCGGGGCCAGTCTGCTGATGGATGATGTCACCAATGATGGCATTGGTGAGAAATCATTGTAATCGTAGGGAAATCTCGAGCAGTTAACATGCCTGTCTGATATTTAGTCTGTTTTTCATCAGTCAGATTCCCAAATTTTGGCATAAGGTATGCGTGGATCAGGCAGGTGTAGTCGTTTATATAACGTTTAATAATCATGTTTTTACATGCAACTGACATCAGAGATTCTGATTTGTCATTCTATATACTCTGGACCCAAAAGTGTGATATTTTTGTGTACCTGTTACACCTTACTTGTTTAATTCTACATAGAAATGTCAATGAAATTTTCTTCAGACTATTATTATTTTATTTTGCAGGTAATTTGAGTTGGTTAATCACTCATGAAAAATTAAAGAATGTGGACCCCATAAGAGTCGATACCACTCACAGGACCAGTCATATGACTAGTCACATGGCCAGTAACAAGACCAGTCATAAAACCAGTCACATGCCCAGTCACAAGACCAGTCACAAGACCAGTCACAAGACCGGTCACATGCCCAGTCACAAGACCAGTCACGACCAGTCACATGACCAGTCACATGCCCAGTCACATGACCAGTCACAATTAACAGGGTAATTACAGCACCAGACTACAGCACCGGACCTCCCCCCCCCATTTATTTATTGCAGAATGTTCAAATCACGAGACCACTCTTCGAACTCTTGATATGTGTAATATTTTATTTCATTCCGTTGTGCAAATTAAGCCAAATTTTGTTGCATTCAGCGCGTATTTGTTGAATTGCCAAGAACTGGACAAGGCACTACATGTAAAATTGAGTATGAGTCAGGTTCCATGATAAATTTGTATCAGCTGATCGTTATTTTCTTTTTAAGTTCCAAAAAATAAACAAAATCACTTCTAGTATGGAGCACCATATTGGTCATTGACAAGTTATAGGAAAGATTTTGTTAGTTCAGTTGAAAGAAGTCATCAGTTCTGAATTGAAATGAATTGAAGTATTTTTGCCCGACGTGCATCACGGCTTGAAAAGTGATGAATCTGTGGCCGTGGCTTCACGTTTTCAACTTGCACTCTGCAGGCAGTAGTCAGGGACCCAGACCAAGCCATAGCCATCAACAACTACAGGCTTGAAATTATGAAGTTTAGATCTAAACCTGAAACCAAGATTCGGCAAAAGGCTGATGCTGACCTATCAAGATTTTTCTTCTTAATTTCTTCAGATGACTTAGTAATTGGCGCGCCATTGCGGATTGACGACATCACTGAAGAACTTTATGGAGGTATAGTATCCTGACACCTTGTATATAAATGCCTTGCTTTTTGTCAACCACTGCAGACCATCTGCCATGGCGTTTAAATTTAATAGTCTATTTCATATTTCAGTTAATCATTTTTCAAGTTTGACATGTTGTGCTAAATTCAAGAGTTTGTTTTCCAGTTCGTAGAACTCAAGAACATTTTAAACATTTAGTGAGTCGCACCAAATTTAAAGGCAAAAAATACAGAAGGCGTGCCATGGAAGTTTCATAATTAAAATTTCAAATCATAACTTGTCTTCACCGTATTAATATTGGAAAAGTCCAAGTAAACTTTCTTACCCCACAATTCTTTTGGAACTCGACATATTTAGGACTGGGAGGAAAAATTGTATTGATTTAATTGACCATAGGTTTTCCAAAAAACAGTTTTCGTCGACACAATTGAAAGTTTGTTAGTTAAATCCTATGAAATAAAATATATTCTGTATTGGCTGAAATTGAATTTGATGTTCTTCCTCCCCAGGTGAACAAGGAGCAGTGTATCTTTTCAAAGGTGGTAAATCATTATCCAGAGGGAATGTCACAAGAGAGTGTAATCTCCTGCATCGATTTGTCGAACCGTGCACCGGAGACAAGGTGGGTTATTTAAAGAACTTTGAAATTATATTACCCAGTGGCCATTTTCGATTGCTTGTGGAAAAAAATTCTCACACAAATGGGAATTGTAAATCAGAGTCGTGCACATAGAGTTTTCGTTCACAACTTGTCAATTCCAAACAATGATAATTTCTCCATCGGCCGTCAGGTAAACAGCACCCTCTTTTGCCACGTGTCCAGGGTTAATAACTATCATGTTTAGAAGCTATTATCTGTCAATTTGCAGTATCTTTCAAAGAAACAGTCTTCTAAACGGGAGCCAAAAATGCAGTCATTTATTTACACTATTAAATTCCATAACGGTATCGTTTGTAAGCACACAAAGCTTTATCTCATTGAGACACCATCACAATTGAAGACCGGAGGCCGCGTAATTTAATTTCAGGCAAAGGGGTATATCATTTCAGCCTTGACCATTGTGGTAGCATTTTCAAAGGAAACCTCGAATCAAATTAAAACGTTATCACAATGAGACTTGGTGTCAGTTGGTTGTACGCAAATTAAATTTTTGAGCTGAATTGGTCGAAACCTCCACAAGCTTGTTCAGAATGCCTTGAATAGAAAGTTATTTTGATGCACTGTAATTTCATAATTCTACCACCATGAGAACGTGGAAGTAAGATGATGTTCTGATTAGCGTACATGTATCAAATTTTCTCACAAATGGCACAATCGGTTTCTCGCTTTGTTATTCTATTTTTTGTAATTTTGAGTGACTAATGTTAGTTCTCGAATCAGTTGGCCAGTCAACTTGTGAAAAAAATCTCTATTTGAGAGAGCGGTTTGACGGTTTGCGTCGACTTGAAATGGGAAACTAGGTGTAACTTTGCATTTAGATTAAACACAGCCATGAGACTGATATATGAATTTGGTCTGGAACATAGGATATCATGTCCTAGGGCTTCAGTTGGTATCCTGTCCAAGTTTCGGACCAACCCCTAAAGAAATTTCAAATTCCATCATGTTTATCACATCATTGAAAAGGTGCAAATTGGGAGAGACCGTAAAAAACACTTCTGTGTGTCTCATTTAGTCTGATCTTCGAGTTTTGTTGTACCATTTTTAAAGGTATTGGGTGTTTGCCTTTCAGGGCACAAACATCACTGCTGCCATAGTATCTGCACCCACGTTTGCTGGTAACTTCTAGCTCGGCAAAAGTTGTCAACAAAGTTGTTGCACAAGTCTCTTTACACGTGTTACAAGTCTGTTCAAAAGTCCTTTCCAGAGACCATTCATAGGTAACAGGATGAGCAGTGACAAAGGAATGCTTTTGTCACAGTTTATTCCAAACGCTTGTGTCTTGGCTCAAGACTGGACAACTTGTAATGGGCTTGACTACAACTCTGGTTTATAGTAGACTGATGGCGCCGCAAGTCACGTGACCTATAGTGGGAATCAAACATCAGCAAACATGACGTTTTCCCTCAGTGAAGTGCGCCGTGAGTTGTTTACCAAAATTAAAGCCAGCGCCTTTATGGTATAATGTACTCAGCACGTCAGTAGTCTCGCACTGAACCAACTGTCGGCTTTATATTTGGTGAATGATACTTATAACACACCTTGCTATCGGGGGGGGGACGCCATGTTTGTTGATGTTTGATATCAATTTATCAACTGTACAATCATGTACGTGTAGGTCATGTGACTTAGCACGCGCAATTAGTCTATGGTAAAGTCTGGGTAGAAGTGAACTGACTTGTCTGAATGCGCCTGTCTTATGGATTTCTTTCCCTTATTGTCTGGCTTTTATTGCAGGCAACGGCAGTGTTCTCAGTCCCAGAGGTAAGAATCTTGTTTGTAGCAAGCCCCTTGTCAAGGCCAAACTTGAGAGGTGCTGTAGCAGATAATCTCATTGTGGTCACAGAATTTCACATTCCATTTGTAGTTTTACTGAATGGCCTAGACTTATTCGTTTCTGCAGATATTGTCCCTAGAGTAAGTCTGCCACTCCCAACAATAAAATGCCAGAGTGATAGCCTTTGTGATTTGCCGACAAAGGTTGGAGTGCAAAATCAAAGTCCCACCATGTGTAACCCCAGCTCAAAGGAAGCCTTGAATAAAGGAGGGCTTTTCTTCAAAGCAGCGGCACTTTTTAAGTCAACGCCGATGTCAGTCTCATAGGCCATGCGTCATTGTGCTCCTACAAGCAAACCTGAAATTGTAAACGCACATCCATGTATTACTCCGGCTTTAGCAAAGATCCATTAGGATAATTGCTCCTTTCTCATTGTCCTGAATTAACGTCATGCACTCACTAGCTGTCAGGTTGAATGTTTCATCACTGTTCAAAAGGAGACAAGAAAGGTGAAGTCTCTGCTTCCACTGAGCTTTACGTTCGTCCAATTCATCATTTTTCCCGTCACCCGTTCAAAAGACGCCCCGTGACGTTTGCCTCGTATTCGGGGGGGGGAGCGGGTTAGCGTGGCGGTTCTTTCCTCGCTTTGCAACAGTGAGGCCCGGGTTCGAGTCCCGGCTTGGCCCAGGCTTTACTGTATTTGGTTTCCAGTTCATACTCGCTCTCGTAGGTTTTCTCCGGGTACTTCCTGCCTCTAAAACTGGACCTTCTTCCTAACTCCGTAATGTGATGCTAATTAATAAAGTGTATGAATAAACGTACAGTTATTGGCGCAAATAACCTGAGATGCTGAAAGCGCCATTAAAAAACAAAACAACAACTTGCCTCGTATTCACAGTCGATGCAGTGAGTGCTCCAAATGCGCTTTTTAGAAATTGTGGCTTTGAATCGCATAAAGTCGTTCACTCTTTCCACATCGTATCCACTAGTGCAATTGCTTCCATTGAATGTTGAGCACAAATCCTCTGAAAGATTTTTTTCTTGATCACATTTTTTTAAGGGTGGCATTGGCAGTGGAAATGTCCAAAAATCCTCCACTCTGCAGAAAACCAACGGCAAATTCTTTGTACTTCAACTTTTAAGGGGCATCAAGCCCCATGCATAGTAACAGTGGCTGGGCTTTACCTTCCTCAATCCTACAAAATCCTTCAAACCTCGCGATGACTATCGGCGGATCTGAGAGAAACACGGGTCAAATGTTGCAGCTTTAAGCCTAAGATTGCTTAAAGGTTGGCCTCTGCCGTGTCGTGGTAAACACAGCTATTATTTTCTGCTGAAGTTGCAAACCTTGTTCATCGCTCAAAAAACAAATAAACAACCCAACCAACGAACAAACTAATTGACCCTGAATTCTTGAAGGTGATTTGGTCAGGGGAAAACCTATTAGAATAGATTGCATCACTACCCCGGGCCTCGCATGTAGACGTCCCCGTTTTTTTGACCTTTCGTTATTGTGTGATACCTCTATCTCTCTGTTTTTGTTTTTCTAGTCTGGCACCAGATTTGGTCATCGGCTGGCTTCTTGGAAAACTGGCACGGTAGGTTAGCCCTCCCACATTATGTTCATTAAAATTATCTGTATGGCTGTTTTGAAGCATTCTTTCCTACGTTTTCCTGCCTGTGTGTGTCAGAAGATGATTAGTTTGGCGGTTTGGGGGGTATTTTGTGCTGTGTGTTCGCCGTGAGTCATTAGGTGGTTGCCTTAGATGGCATGTAAGGTGATTAATTTGTTTTTTTCAGACAGCTGTTTGTGGTCTGTCTCCTCGCCTCATCCGTTCTGTGGGCACCACTCATGGTGTGTGATTGATTAGTGGGGCCGAGCGAATGCCTCATTATGTGCTATGGATTTTGGTAAAAGTTGATACCAATGTTAGCACGGGGGTTATCTAAATGTTTAGTGTGATGTTAATCTCTGTAAAGTTGGACTTCCAAAGAAGTTGGAGAAATGGATGACGCAACACAATTTCATAGAGCTGCTTAAGCACAAACTCTGCTTCAGTGTGAAAAACCTTGCTTGATAAATCAGGTTACCAGCCAAAACTCCATGCGATGTACATTGTTTCTGAATGGTTATTCAGCTGTCTTTTGGTTAGCATGACAATTACAATGAATTTGAGCTGGTAACGTTTGTTTTTAAATAGGTTTTTTGTGCTCAAGCAAATTTTGCACTTAGGAGCTCTATGACGTTGGCCCTAGTTTTAAGTTTTCACGTGACCTTTTTCCTCCGCCATCCCTTCCCCCATCCCCTCCTCAATCCCTTGTCGCCCCTCCTCGCTTTCCTATCCTTTCCTTAACCTCTGCCGATCTCCCTTATCTACCCCTTGCTTCGCCCTATCATTGACATCTCCTTCCATATCAATCAACCCCTTCCTCGCCCGCCCTTAAGCGTCCCCCGCCCCCTTCATCAATCCACCCCTCGCCTTCTTCCACCTCCTGCCCACATGCCCCCCTCTCTCAACTTTCCACCCCTCAGGCCAGCTACCTGTACATGAAGCCACATCTCATTAATAAGAGGTCCTTTGAACTTCTCGAATTTACCTCGTTATAACAGAAATGCTGTGTTATCCGGAATGAAAACCATGAAAACCAATTAACAGAAACCTAAAATGTCGTTGTCATTAGAAAAGTATTGTGTCAACGATGCTCTTACTAAGAAGGTTTGACTGTAACTTAGAAATGAAACGTTCTTTTCTTTTGTCCTCCATATGCGTCAACCAATCAGACGACACGTTTAGTCGTAACAGCTCCAAGGAGCAGTAAGCAAGGTCGACTCGCGGGGGCCGTGTTTGTCTATTCCGGCTTCAACTGATTCCTATCATCTCATTCCTCCATTGTAAGTACCATTCGATTCATACCCACGAACATTCAATTCTTATCATGTCCAGATTACAAGGACAAACCAGTTGAGTTTTTTATCATCAGGAATTTGTTGAAAAAGTCTGCAAAAAATAAAGGAAAGCAAAGCATTCAGTTGGGACTTTCGAATTACCCCAAGTCATGCCGCGCAACAGAACTTTGTTACTATTGCACTTGCAATCAACAATCCACGGTAAAAGAGTTTCATGGTTCTCACTTGCCTTATCCGTTTCCCCGTAAAATTGGTCAAGCAATATAAAGTAGTGCCTGGCGTTGGCGAAGGCGTCTTGCTATTTCAAAGCTATCAAATGTCCACCTGTAGTTAACCCGAATTACCTGAGAACAATGTAGAGTGGAAAATCCTATTTTTATCACCAGAATATACTTAACAATTTATACATGTTAGACGCTATTTAAATACCTGTCTGTAATTTCTATGGGTGATGTGGTTTTTGCTTAAATTTCGTAAAGAACCTTATTGCATAGCATATAGAGGCTTTGCATGGTAGCCATCTTGCAAGACAGTTCTTTTGTTCCACAGGGAAACCTTTGTGCATACCCTTTGACACAAAAGCTTTGGCCTGCAAGATGGCAGCCATGTAAACCCTCTATAGTTGCAAATGAACTTTTGAGTTTGCAGTGCTCTTAAATGAAACAAAAGCTATGCCAAATCCGCTCCGAGCGGAACAAAAGAGGGCGTGAAATTGACGGTCCTTTGGTACCAACTCACCACATAGGCAAGTATATGCGCATTTGACGCTGAGTACGCGCAACAAATTATTTGGAATGTATTGTCTTTACGTACATGTACACGCAGAACGCGTGCAAGAACCCGCTGTCTTTCTTTCGCCGATTGGGGGTGCAATTCAGCTCAGGGCGGATAAAAGGAAATAGACTGGTGCACGAAATGTTGTACTTCTTGTACTGTGAAAAAAACATGTCTAGTACCAAGGCTTTCCTGCATGTTAATGCCGAACTAACGATTGGTCCACTTTTTCAGAAAATGCGACGGCCGGGTGTGTAGGTACCATTCTGAAATATTGAACTCGTTAATTAAAAACTCACTGCTGCAAAAATTAGAGAAAAATTTTTTGGAACTTGGAATTTGAACCTCATACTTGTGAAAAACAGGTAGTAGGAATTTTACAAAAATACTGAAAATTTTGCTTTTAAATTGGGCGCTCGTCTTTATTTGTGAAGGATTGTAATGTACCTGTGTACTCATGATGAAATTAGTGCAGTTCACTAAGTTGTAGTCTTTCGTTTTGGAAATCGGTTACAAATTATTTGTTTTTTCCTGAAATATATATTTTTCTAATTATGAATTTGTCATAATTTGTTGCAATTTTTGTGTATATCAACCAATAACAGAGAGTACGTGGTAAATATGACATTCAAACGGTGACAAATGGCCTCGGTCGAATTTTGTTAAATTAAGACGTTTTCAAATACTGAAACAAAAATGTTATCGCAAAAGTGTTGATAATTTGAAACGTTGGTCATGTAGAAAGGTGTAATGAATGAAGACAAATCTGGGTAATTTTTGGGCAAGATCATTCATCTAGTCGGCGTATACATGTATATTTAATTTGGACACACACACCCACACAAAAAAAACACGCCGAATTTTAGTGTGCGTGGGGGATGCCGTTTTTTCTTGAACAAGGTTTTATTTTTCATCGATTGCTTTACACCAAAATGTATGTACAAATTTCTTGCATCACAGTATTGCATCACAGTCTCCGTAATAAATCTATCTTCATTATCCACCTGTTGGTACCTATAATTAATTAATAATTAATAATCCTGTATATGGGGCCGAGCCGCGTATTAATCACCAGTTGCGAATGTGACTTAGTTTAAAACATTACGGGCGATTCACTATAGTACGCCTTCAAGAGTTTGCAACGGGTTGGCCAGTCACGAGACGCGAAATGTGTCGGCCCTTTCCAAACGCGCAGTGGGTCGACAGATTTCGCGACGGTCGTAATTGGCCAACTCGTTGCAAACACTTGGAGGCGCACTGTTGTAAACCGCCTATATTCCACTGTAAATGTTGTACTACGAGATGGCCCATTCTCAGCTTCGGCTGTTTTGCCACGAGAGGGTTTGTTTATAAATTTATCTCTCTGTTTGGATTGGATTTGTTTGGTATTACCTCACAACAAAATACAGTGACAAAAAAAACCCCAAAAATACATGAACAAGAAGTGCACAATATACACAAAAATAGGTTATTACCTATTTTTTGTCGCAGTCACTGTTGTCATATTGTCATATTGTCGTTGGTTCGTTTTTGTTTAGATTGGTTTTTTTCCCCTTAAGTTTTTTATTTGTTTTAGTGCAATAATAGGGACACCACTGGAAATAAGTTGCAAAACTTTCATAGGCTGAATAAGTTGTAAAAACCCATGAAAGTTGCATCACAGACAAACAGAAAACCCGACACCCCAACATCCCTACAGACAAACAGACGGCCCGACAGTGAATTACACGTAGGCCTTGTTCATGTCAGCAAACAGTAACAGAAATCATAGTTTGTTCATGTGGTGAGTTTGGTTTTAGGCCTAGAAGATAATCATGACTAAAGCTTCGTTCATTGGTAGGCTTCTGTCCAAAGTCAGCATGGTGCAGTCTGTACCGATATTACCAGTGGACGTTATTTTTCTGTCGGCCAATCAAGCAGTGTAATGCCCCATGTGTCTCAATCCGGTGTACTTCGAGCATGCGCATAAATAGCAACAACACGAATTTCAAACCATTTTGCGCGTAACTATGTGGTTCAAGAACACTGGAATTTGAAAACCCATTTCCAGATATGCTTGCCGTGTATGGAAAAAAAACCTATAGTGCTGTGGCCTCACACATTTCACATTTCTTCTTCTCGTCTTCTGAGGAAAGGAATTAAGATATCAAAGATCATTCCGTTGTTGAGATCAGCTTGATCTCAAATAACTGGTTACTCTCTTTTTGAGAATCGCAAGTATCCTGCAGAGAGGAGGTAGCACGAAAATGGAAAGATTACCCTCAATCTGTTCGGATTCTCACAGTTACCATGGCGGCCAGCGTGTCAGCTTCCAAGAGGATACCTTAATTAAGCAGTAGCTGCAACGCTTTGAAGTAAGTTGAGACGCGAAGTCATTCTGGAAATAAATAGGATCAGTGCTTATAGGCAAGGTTAATATTCCACTGCTTCGAATGACTCTAAGACTGGTGGTGTCTACGCTAGTGCGCAGCGTCCACCGTCGCTCCCGTTAATTTTACCCAGGCGTTGCTGCTTCGCACGGGCTGTATATAAATCATGTTATTTTCCTTCATCTAGAATGAACACAGGTGCATTGAATATAAGAACACAGAGGACTGACTGTTAACATCACATTTGATTAGATATTCGTGTCCGTCTCAGACCAACTGTAAAATTTCTGTTCACAGTGCACTGTGTGGAAGGCTTCAGATTAATAATCTACATTTTACGACATTTGAGAAACAAATTGAAGAAGTTTACTTAAGGTATATGGTACACACTCGTATAATACATTGTATAATACCTCATTCAACGGTGCCACTTTTCATATTTTGGTGGGCTGAATTTCGTCTTATAATTCAGTATTCATCCAGCCAATGTACAAATTGAACTATAAACCTGTTTTGATGTTGTGCCGTACCATACAGTCAATAGTTGTTTTTTCCCAATCAGTGGTTGCCATAGTTTATAATCTTTTTTCTTAGACTATAATTTTACAAAGTGTGTTGTCAGATTATATTTGGGTGTTAAAAGGGAGAATGATTAACGGTATAGACTACTACATCTAAATGATAAATTAAAAAAAAAACAATTGTGCCAGTTATCCCCTTGAACGGTAACAGTGCAATTTAGGGAGAGAATTGTCATACCAGCAACGGGGGCAGTTTTGTTGAGCTTTGTACCTCTGAAGAAAAATAAAATTCGGCCTTCGGAAAGTCTAGCTGTACCTTTGTAACACACAATATAATAGTCATGCCCTTAGCAAGCCAGCTCCTCGCTGGTTTTGTTCAGCAAGTCGAAGGCAAATTGTCCTACTGCATAGTAAGTGCATGAATGTGTCGACTTTTCGGGGCGCTAACGAAAAATTGTATCCTCCCGACAGCCGGTTAAAAACTCACCAAGCCGATGGGATTTTTCCTACGTGCCCATCCTGTGAGTCTGCTTTAAAAATGAGCTCAAGGCCAAGAACCAATACGATATCTCTCGAGAGGGAAAAAATCTTCAGTAACGAGCACGGTGCGTCCACGGGGGGGGCTTTTTCATTAGAAGACAGCGTCTGGGCAGATTATGTCATGCCTTGCCAGCTGCCGCGCTCGACATCAAGAACGCATCACAAAGTACGTTTAACCCCGCCATATTGCGAGTGTCATGTTTGCTTGCGAGCGTTGAACTCCCCACACAGGATGCTCCCAAGGAAATTACTGGAACACCAAGCCGAAGTTAAACCCAAGGGGATGCCGATCTTTGCGATCCTTGCTCTTCTTGACGATATGGGGAAAAAAATCACATTTCGAGGTTCGCCCACTTCACCTTCATCCGATTGTGGACCATATAGCTCCTATGCTTCAACGCATGCGTGTTTATCATCTTATTTATACCTAGTACCTCTGAACACTCGTTTATAACCAACACCAAGTCCCCACTATTTTCCAGAAATGTGCACGGGGAACACGTTTTGTGTTCTTAGGAGCTATGCATGTACTGTTTTGTGGAAGTATTTCAGTGTAACAGAAATCTCAAAATCTGATACAGATTAAACTGTGCATCGTGTGTCGACAATGTGCTTTCAAACATTACATGCAGTGCCTCCTTTATACAGTATACGGTGCGTGGATTATATACCTTTTTTTTCCCCACGGGGCTCTGGGTGGGGAGGGAAAATTTAATTTCACAGTACAGTCAGTACGCAACAGCTACGCCATTTAAAAGGTTGTACATGGTGTATTGCTGGCTCTAGTTTGCAAAAATGATATGTCATCCCAGGAACCAAACTTCATTGTTGGTTGTGCGCAAAGAAAACTCCTGCATTTCTTGAAAGATTTTGCAGGCCTAAAAGCAAGCACCTGACCCTTTCTCACAAATAATTTCAGTGAGTCAATTCTGGGTTCACCATTTGAACAGATTAACCTATGCACTGAGCTGTGTCTTCCCCGCGGATGACATCACAGCAACAGCGCCCTCGGTTATCTTGGAAAGCATGGATAAATTGGAAATGTTCAAAAGAATTTTCACCGTCACTTCAATTAACCAAACGGGGATGTCAGCTAGTTAAATTTCACACGTGGAAGAAGAGTGTTAAAAGGTTCATAAAATTTGTGTCCGAGAAAAAGTCATTGTATTACAGTGCGTGCTGGTCTCAAATCAATCTTTTGGGAATTTAAAGTATCAGGCTTCAAGAATGACACCACTTGATGTGTCAATTACCAAGTTCGGTTTGAATTATACCAGTTCAAGACGTGGAACAGAAGGCCCAAAACGTGACGTCAACGTCTGCTGCCCTGCGCGCCGGCCGTGACACGGTGGTTGGATGTCTGGTTGTCTGTCCCCGATCCGTGGTGCTCCGTGTTGCACAGGCAACCTCGTGTCAAGACTCGGATTAGGTTTTTGTAACCCTGGCGGAACGATCGGTTCATGATACCGTAAACAATGCTGCCAAAGCAAAACAAAATGAAACGAACGAGTAACATGCAAGGCTTAGCAACTCATTTATTTTTATTCAATCGAAACTGTTATTTAAAGCAAGACAAAGTACCGGTAACCCTGCCAAAATACCCCGAGAGCGTGCTGCGTGATTAGCAAGGAACAGCAAAAATGCCTGATAATATCCCCGAAACAGTCATTTGTGACTTCACTTCAGTTTAAACCACGTCCACTGCACATGAACTGCACATGTGTCATGAATTGATGCCCGTCTACGTGGAACAAACTTCAGCGATTATCCAATGGGAGCCTGCAAATCGTGGCGCGTCCGCCCATGTGCCGAAGTCACTTACAAACCGGATGAGTTACAGTACATGACGTCATCCCTAATGAAAACGCTGATTGGCTAGAACGCGCTCCCATGAATAGGGTCTGCTCTTTTGACGTTCCAGTCGTGTTTTTGCTACACGTGGCTGCTAAAACTATGAAGTTGAACGAATTTGATGTAAAATCGGAAACCGACCAGAAGGTGATAGATATTTCTACAATTTTTTGCCGCCTGTACAAGTTGTAGACAAAATAAGGTTGGTCTCTAGGTTGCATTTATGCGGTTGGTTATCGCTCTCTCCGCCTGGAGCATGCAGAAGCGATCCCTCATCGGTTGAAAAGGGCCATGTTGGGGGGAGAATTCATTTGGTTGGTAGCATAGCAACGTGTGTACTTCGTAGTTGTTTGGGAACCAACGAAATGTAGTTCCCACCCCAAGAGCCTCCGTTGCTCGGAAAATTGCGCCCTCTCTTGGTCCAGCCCGGGGCTCATATTGCATAGTTTTTTTTTTCAACCACGTGACTAAATGTAAACCTTACCACCACATGTGGACCGCCGTGGCCACGGTGGTCGCATATATTCCTGCGGGTAGCTTCAACCGCGTCCAAGTGCATGTGCGAACGCTGCATGCTTGATTAGTTTATCTTGAACAGGAAGATTACTGACAACACAACGCGATCCAGCACAATTGTAACATCACAGAAAAAAGGTCTGTAGGGTAAACAGTCTTGAGGGAAACCCATGGTTTACACATGTATAATTTTACCGTGCAGAGTTCTGTTACCTCCTGTCTTTGTGAATGGGCTCCGATTGTTAGTTTGAGCGTTCGAACATTTTTGTCAACGCACTGCTCGATTTTGGCGTGGTATCCACCCAGGGTCATCACCCCCTTTTTTTCCTACCTGTTCATGCTGGAGTTAGCGTGGGCGAAAATAATGGCGGCCACGTAAAGCTCGTCCGGGTAGGTGTTGCGCAGGTCTGACAGGACGATGATGGTGTACGGAGTCCAGCAAGCCAGGAAGACCAAAAAGATGACCACCACCGTCTTGAGAAGGCGGGTGTCGATCGGCTTCTTGGCCGGGCCGGGCGCCACGGCCTGGCCGTCGCCAGAGCCTACGTCTGTCTGCCATGTTTGGATCTGCTCTTCGTAAAAACCAAAACGAAAGCACAGGTTACTGGCTGGTTTGCTGATTAAAAAAATGATAATCTTCAAATCGTGCAAGGGCATAAATTATCCAGGTAAGAAGCGAAATAAAGTACCATTTTCCGGCCTGACCCGAAAATAGAATAACTTTGAAATGTACATCGGTACTGCATAAAACTCTCCTGTGAATACTATGTCAATTTTATTTTGTCGATATTTGACCTGGTGATGTTGACTTTCATTAGCGTAAGAGCATGTTCTTCATTTTTTCTTGGAGTTTAGATGACTGTACAGAGATCGTGCTTGTTTGCTGCAGCTTATGATTAAGTATCGTATTCTTAACTCCATAAAACGGAGAGTTTCTGCACTTTTATTCGCATAATGCTGAAGGTTGACCCCTGCTATGTTAAACAGGGAAGCGAAGCGACTTTGACGTCGCGAAAGATATGCCGCGAAATTTCGCTCGAATTGATATGTGTTAATTTGCAGCGCGCATATTTTGACCTGAGGCCACGAATCCGCGTTTGTGTTCGCTTTTGCGTGAAGCATGAACCGGCTTCTACCCATCTTTCTGTATTATTCAACCCTGTAAATTCGAGTTGTTGTGGGAAGTACACTTAGACTCTAAGCATCAACGTTTTATATCCAATAATCCACTTTATTATTGACAAATTAATTAAATTGCGAGAGGCACCGTTTTCATTTTCGGTGGCAAAATCCTTTGCACTTTTGTAATCGCCCGTGGTGATATTTGCTCCGCCGAACTCAATACGGTCGTTTTGAATCCAAGAGTTTGCAACGTGCTGGCCAATCACAATACGCGAAATGTGTCGACACAGTGCGCGTTGGAGGCGTAGTTTTTTCGTAGGCAGGTTGGGGGCAATTATGATAAAATTGGCGTATCTTAATCGTTGCGCATGCGTTTTTGGTTGGAAGGTTGGGGGCTATTATTATAAATGGGGACACAAACTTTTAAGTATAAGACACAGCAAAAAATGCTTTTCTGGCCGATCCACATAGTAGTTCTGTTAGAAGAGCGTTATACTGTACTTAGAACGAATTAGCCGGGGATTCGAGTCTGGGCCTACGTGTAGTAATATTTTTCTTGGTGGGGAAGTGGTTGGAGGATGTTTTTTAATAGGAAAGTAAAGCCTGACATTGACCTTGGTATCAACTAAATTGATCGAGCTTGCAGTTAACCACGCCCATAAATGATAATTGCCCCTAATTCTCTTAGGAAAAAAAATACGCCATTTGGAAAGGGTCAACAGATTTCGCGCTATGTGATTGGCCAAAGCGTTGCAAACTCTTGAAGGCAATTATGAATTGCTCGTATAGACCTTTTTCACCCACGTGACTGGATTGCGCTTAATGTAAACAATACCACCGCGCGCGAACTGCATAGCAAGCGCACGTGTAAACGCTGCATGCTTGACTAGTTTATTTTGAATAGGTAGATTACCATCACAACACTATGCACATTACCATCACAACACATCATAGATCCAGCACGATCGTGACATCTCAGGAAAAAAGTCTATTGTGAGAGGTGAAGATTTGTAAACTAGTCTTAACACGTTTTACCCAGTTTCAAATCTCACCTGTTCAACTTTCAAAATCAGATTTTCAGTGTTTGCCATCGCCCTGATAACTTGTTTGATGATTTTTGATTTTTGTATTTGCAATCACGATACTATAAAAAAGTGCTCTTTTTGACAATTCCATTAGAAAGTATGTGGAGTTTACGCCGTCTTGGCTCTGGAGAAAGAGACCATCAATCTCTGGTCGAAAATTCCCTGTCATCAGCGCCCTCGTTGCTGTTTGTCATTTATGACCTTTCACTATGAAAAAAAAAATCGACAGCTGAAAATCTTTTATCTTCCCAGACGAGGTTTCCTAAGGTTCGTCAGCGAAACTCTAATGAGCTCAGTAGATGTTTGCTTTCCTCCACTACCAAAAAAAAAATTTTTCCTGGTATGTCTATGTTCTTTAATTGGGCACAGATAAATTCCAAGGTTCTTTGCAGCGTCAGCAATCGGAAGCTAAATGGGAAAAATATGTCCCAATGATCGAATCCAGCTTGCGGTCACGGGATATGCCCTCGGGCAAGGCACGTTTATACCTGTGAGGGCAGAGATGGTTACTGTGCTTGAATTAGCTGCTTTGCGTCGAAATGGCTGCATCGAGCTGTATACTCCCCGGGAGCTGAGCTGGTACTAGGAAATGTTTCATGGGCCCGATGTGCAGGGGTAATAATAATGGAAACGCTTTGATCTAAACATGGAGCTATTGAACACAAGGAGTAAGCACATACAGAGATCAAAAGGGTCAACGATGGCCACCGCCTGCACTGCACGTGCTGCAAGGACAAATCAAATTACGCGCCGCTTGCGGGCAATAAGGAATGCCGGGAGTTGCATTTGCAAAGGATTGTGGGTACCGGGCATGCGTGTCCATAAACTTCCGCACGTTCAACATGGCTGCCATCGAGACGGAAACCATCGTCATAGGATACTTAAATTTCGATAATTTTAGCGATTGCTCTGATATTCAAGTGATAATGGTTACATCTTTACGTCCCCAAAAAGTATCTCTTTAACAATAAATAGAATTACTGATAAACACAATTCCCAAGCAATACATGACAAGAAAACTGAAAGAATGTAGCTTGTCCAGAGGAGAATGAAAAAACATACAAAACATGGGAAGATTCGTTGTCCTTTCTGTCATTGTCCACAGCCGTCTCGGCATGAAACCTCGCCACGTTTTCTGATGCATTCTTAACCTTCTTTTCACCGAAGGAACCACTAGGATTATGAATTATGGTAGAAATATCGCAGTTCATATTTTGGGTACAAGTTCTCTTTAAAACGTCATAAATGACTTTAAAACGTCCGACTTCTACCAAATAACCATTGCCGATTCGGAATTGAGTGCATCTGCGGGGATCTCTTGCTGTCCAGAGCGGTTAATCGGATTACGGTCCGTGGGAACTTCGTTTTAACTCCTTGTGTTTGATATATCCATGAGTTCAGTAAGTTAAAAGCGCTATATAAAGATGTTGCTATTATGACTTGACATGAGATCACATGACATCGCATGACATGACATCACATCACATACATCAGATCACCGCATGACATCACGTCACGAGACATAATATCACGTTACATGACATCACAGCACATGACATCACATTAGATCAGATCTCATCATATCACATCATATCACAGATCATATCGTATCGTATCATATATCAAATCATAATATATAAGTTCCGGTTCGTACACATACTCAGAAAGAGGTATCCTTGCATGGTGGCCCCTACTACTGTAAACCTCTAAACTTCATTTGTCACATTCACCGTGAAAAACTTCAAACCTTATCCGATGTTTCATGTAGTTCTTAAGGCATTATTATGAAAATTAATTTTCATGTTGTTCGAAGTAGAACGTGATTGGTGTATTGGTGTCTATGTAAAGATTAATCCAATTGAACGCACCGCACTCACACGCACATTCTTCAGTTTGACGCGCGCGTGCATTTGGCAATTCACGACACCCTATTGGTCGAATAGGTATGTAATACGCGCGTACAACAAAATGAGAATGGTCTGTAGAGATTTTTCACGTGACATGTGACGGGCAAAGGTATTTCAGGAAGTGTTCCATGTCCGTGGAGGCGCGTGCATTTTCGAATGTTGGTATTTCTATTGGCAGTTTCATGCATGCCAGAATGGTGAGAGACTTCGAAGGCGCGCAAATGTGTAAATTGAACGCTGACGGCTTGAACAATTTCAGCCACAACCACTGCTTTGGCCCATAATTCAACGCTTATTTCTTTATTGCAGCTGGGGAAACAATCGAACGCCATTGGCGCCGCACTGCTAGGCTCCTTAACGAGCACGCTACTGTTTTTTTTTTACAAGAGTATTTGTGTGTTGTCCGTGGCAGGCACAGCGAGCAAGAACGAGCATGCGATATATTGTGTGTTGAGGTTGTTCAAAAGAAGTTCCTCCTTGCTGACCTTCATGTTGTGCTCCCGGACGAACAGAAATGTCTTGATGTAACAGATGATGACGATGGTCATGGGCGTGACCACGCCCATCCCGATGAAATAGAGAGTGTACCCGTAGTGGTCCAGGCGGTCGAAGGAGCAGCCCCGCTTCTTGGCATCGAAGACGTGCGCTCCGAGGCCGACGAGGTTTGGGAGATCGATCAGAAAACAGATCAGCCAGACCGCTGCTGCCATGAGCAGGGTGTTCCGCCGGGTGTATACCCGCGGGTAAAGCGCACTCTTGGCCACGCAGACGTAGCGGTTGATGCTGATGGCGGTGATGCTCCAGAGGGAGCAAGTGCAGCTGATGATACAGACAGCGGCAGCGAAGCCACAGAAGACGCGGTTTTTGATGAGCAAGTCAGGGATCACGTTACCTGGAACATCGACGTAAAGAACTGGCGTTAGATTTTATCTGTGTTTTATCCTTTGCATTCTACGCTCCCAAAGAATTGGCCGTTTGCGAGTTAAATTTGAATCAAATCTAGTGCACTGAGTTCTTTAAATTCACATGAACATAATTTAAATTTTCCACATTAAAACACTGTCGGTAGATTTAGTTATTCTGGGCAAGCTTTTGCTTAGTTACATAAGAGACGCCTTGCGACAATACACTGTTCTCAATAGATAAGAAGGGCAGAAAGGAACCAGTCCATTCCAGAGATGGTGGTCGCTGTGCGAAAACTTTCCGGGAATCTCGAGGTATAGCAACAGTGTCTTTAGTCTTGGGAATTCACATAACTGGCAAATGGCTATTCACTGTGCACAGGCACACGAGAGGAACTACATTACATTTTAACCAAACTACTCTGTCCTGAGCAAAATCGCAATAACTGACTTACCTCGGGGAATTCCATTTTCGCACATAAACGTTCATATTTATTCCATAGTTGAAGGAAACACTTTAAATTTAAGGATTCGTTTGAATAAAACACCTGCATAATTCCAGTGCATAAGAAACTTTGCACAACTATACGTTGATTTTATCGCACATAACAAATTGAGAATATCAACGTTTTCTTTTAGAAACATTCTAGTCATAATGTGCTCAGCCGATGAACAAATCGTAGAGACAATAATCATTTTTTTAATGAGATTGTTCAACATATCAGAATGTGTGCACTGAGATACTTATCAATGTCATCTAAGTTGATGGGTTTTTGTAAGTGGAACATGTATCGAAAATCAAACGACCAAACAAATTTGGCCTAAAAAATTACCAAGTACATAGGACAAGTCTACAAACGACGTCACGCAGAAGTCGGCTATAGCGAGGTTGAAAATGAACACATTGGCCACATTTTGACGCAGCTTCCGCTGCGTGAGTATAGTTGCCATGACCAGTGGGTTTCCGATGTTACCCCAGGCCATGGAGACCACGAAGAATGCCACCAGCACGGCCCGGAAAGCGGCACGCTGTTCAGGCAGGTGCTCATCGGGCGTCACCTGCTCATCCAGCCCGGTGAACGGAGCGCTGCTCGGGGTGGTAAAGTCATCGGATACGGTGGGTTGACTAGTTACTGCCTCCATGCCGGCTTCTGTCTACGAAACGTTGTTGACCAACCTGTCCGTCCATTGAAACGAAGAGTTAAAAGTGTCAAACCGGGGTTTGAGGCCTAACCCTCTTTAGTCTTTTTTTTTTTGTTCTTATACATGTACAAAACTGAACATCTTTGTTTTTGCGCTTTCTGTAACACGAAATCGAATGTACCTCTACATTCCTGCATTCTTCCTAATTTTAACTCGATCTGTTTCGCAAAATATAAATGCAATTTCGCCTGTGTGTTGCTTGAGGTATGGTCAAGAATAGGAATTCGTTTGTGTGCTAACAGAAGTTACAGTGGAAAGAGTTCCATATATGGACGCCACTTGATACCCTGTGCACAAACCCTATGGTCTAAAAAATTCTAAGCGTGTTTAGAGTAAACGACTTGATTTTTTTCTTTCTAAATTGAACTTTTCTGGACATGGTTTTGCTTTTTGCCGGCTAACAGGTCACTGTAGGGAAAATTACTTGGTGTCATCAGGTGACCACACCATAGGGTGTTACTTGAACACCGCCAGGTGTTACTTTGCACACCTACAAGTGTTACAAGGCACTGGAGGGTTGTTAGAAGTAACACCAAATAACATCAAACGTCTTAACACCAGTGAAAAGTGTTGGTGTAGTCCTTTGATAACACCAGGGATGTTAAATTTAACACCTCAGTTTTGCAGTGTATGTGGACTTTTCCAGTTACATTCGTAGAAGTGTTTATAATTGATTGGTTAATGTTTGAATACTCGTAAACCAAACATGTTGTCTTTGGAAATATACCCACTATTTTACTTATCCTAATTCTAGTAAACACCGAGGCTGAGGGAACCTTCTCTCTTGAGCTACGTTTTTACCATAATCAACCTTGTATCTTCTAATCAAATTGAACGTTGGCCTATATTTTTGCAAATTTGAATTAAAGCAAATGAAAATGAATACTCAATTCCGCGTAGTCACAGTAAAAGACATATTTTGGCGAATAAGAATGCACATTTGTTGTAATTGACGAAGAATACGTCAAACCGAAATCCCAGTCATGTATTTGTAGCCTCTTTAATGAAACGTAATGCACATTCATTTATTTTAAGGATGAAAATGAAGTTGAATGCTTGTTTTGTAAAAGTGAAACCAGGTTTTAAGTCGTGTTCAAAGTCTATGCCAATTGAAGTTTTATTTTACAAATTAATTTACGCATTTCCCGAAATTGGCCGGGAAAACCTATATTAGGCCTACCTACGTGTGAATGTGTCTGAATTTGCTCCCGAGTCGATCGATATTATAAACTAAACCTTTAAATTAACGAAGAGTCTTAGCAGCCCAAGGGCATGTTTTTCCTCGTGCAACTAAAAGGATTTTTTGTTGAGATACGAGATAAACAAACATTGCCTGAACGAAATCTACTCTTTTAGTCACGTACGTAGAACTCTATGGCATCGGTACCGATGTCCACTTGAGATACCAATGTCCACTTCAGATACCGATGTCCAGTTGAGATACCGATGTCCAATTAAAGTATACACTTGACCAATCCTCGGCATCTAGAAAGGTGTTATTCTTCCCCTTGCAAATAAAGGACTTTCTGCCTTCTGTGACAATCGTATCTGAGGGATTACAGCTTACTTTTCCAATAAAGGACCCTTCGCTCCGAGCGGAACAACAGAGGGCGTGGTTTTTTGGGGGGTACTCACCGCAAAGGCGCGCGTTGGTAATGGCGCATTTGACCCGGAGCAGGCTGAGTACGCGTAACGAATTTTATTCCTTAATGTATGGTCCTTGCGTACACGACAAACGCGTGCAAGAACCCGCTTGGAAAACTTACTACCATCTTTTGTTTGGCCGCTTGAGGTGCACTTCAACTCGGGGCGGATACTTCTCGAGTACCAACTGCAAGGGGTCCGTTCAGACAAACTCCAAAACTGCATTTTTATAAACAGAATTCAACTCGTAACCTTTGCAGGACAAAGCCCGCTCCAACTGCACTAAAACCATCCCACCCTGCGTTAGCAGATGTGATCACAGATCTTCAGTTAAGAATGAATAGTATAGCCGAATGAAAAACATATTTGTAGCAATGCGTACTTTAGCTACTTTACGGGCGAATCTTGCTGTCTTGCGATGTACATATGTTTCAATCATGTCTCTTCTTTCAAGTTGAAATGGCAACAGTCTTGAAACAACCGTCCAACACCTCTCTCAACCCACTCAAACCGTCCGTTTATTGACTCCTTTTGTTGCAGGGTAAGCCTTAAACTTCGCCCCTTACAGGTCGTATGAACGTCCTAACACGATAGTGCTCTTAGACGACCTTACGGTATTACGAAGTTTCGTCCAGGTAATTTAATTCACCCCGAGCTGAAGTGCACCCCCAATTAGCGAAAGAAAGACAGGTGGTTACAAGCGGGTTCTTGCACGCGTTCTGCGTCTACGCAAAGACCGTACATGCCGGTGTAAATTAGTTACGCGTACTCGGCGTGCTCCGCGTCAAACGCACATATACTTGCGCGCCTCATGGCGCGTCTATGCGGTGACTACCCCAAAAAGCACGCCCTATTTTGTTTAGCTTGGAGTGGATAACCACAGCAAATCACTTCAGTTTTCTTGAACGAAAGGTTCGTTTGGACAAGCAAACCTGCTTCTTCGTTAATATGCAGCGCATACCGCTTCGGGTAGGTTCAGACCGTTGGTATCGCGCTTTTTGGTCCAATAGGTACCTATAGGTACCAAATCACCCTTACAGCCGAATCGCCTCATTGTAAACCAAAACAAGTGGCCATCTCAACACTCTCCAAAACACCTTCCAAGTTTGTGGCTGAACTCTAATGAACATAAAGACGTTTAGGGCAATTCAAAATATCAAAACTCATAATTCATGAGCCGGGTAGGTTCCCGGTGAAACTGACAAAAGCAAACTTTGCTTTGACAAAACTGTGCAGAACTGGGTAATGTCCCTCAGTATTACAACACAACTGAGAATGCTGTATTCAGAAATTTCTCTGTCTTGCAGAGTACTTTTTACTTCACAACAAATGTAATCATATAATGAAAAGAACAATTAAGGAAGCACTTACTTAATTCGCTTTGCAGGTTAGCTTGATGGGTCCAGGATTTTGGCGATCGGGACAGATAAATGTCGTGTCGCCGGCAAAGAAACAGCCCTCAATTGGCCAAACGAGCCCAAATTGTCGGTACCAGAGGGTCAATGCGATGATAGGCTACCGAACTAGATAGTTATCGAGCGTACTCTCAAGCCGCCATCAAAACCACGTCCCCATCACAGGCGATTAGATTCTGTTCTCTCTTGCTCGCATACCAAACTTGCCTTTATATATAGCTTCTGCGCCGTTTTCGTTTTGAAACACCCTCCCCTTTGTCTTTTACGTTCCGGGAGAATATCTTGGGAGAAACCGCTGGCTTACACTAGAACACCTGATGACGTAACACCGTTGTCATGACATTTCAGGACGTTGCATTGTTTTGAAACAATGTCATTGGTTCTAACCCTTGTCCAGTGTGAACTTCACGCGGTGTTGATTGGTTAATGGATGGTTTAATTTACCGAAGAGGGGGATGGGGTAAGTAAATTAATTTCGGATGTTAATAAAGCAGCATGGGCGTGTAAAAAAAACCAATAGATTGATTTTTAAAAGGTGGAACTCTCTTGACTCTAGACTGTCGACTTCACAACGGGAATGAAATCTCGAATTTTACCACAAACGCTTCAATTCAATTTTCCTGCATCAATTTTCACTGAAAAATGCCATTTGGCCTGAACGCTACATTTTAGACAAGGCGTGCACGACACAAATTAAATAAGGCATATGAAATTTTCAAATAGCAGCTTCATCCCGAAAATGCATCTTTTTGTCGCATTTAACCTAATTTCGATTTTTTTTATTTCCCTTTCCGAGGACTGTTGTTTTGATTCTCGTTTCTATTGAGAATGTTGAGGGGTGAACTTCTTCCTTCACAAACGACAACTTTCACCGCCGTAGAAAAGAGTGATCGCCCATCATGCCTTTTCAACGGTTCTTTGCCATATTAAAGAAACTATGAAGAGCAGCAGTCGCAAAGGGTCTTTGGCTAGAGCCTAAGATACCCTCGTTCATTTTCGTTCGTTAAAATGATTCCCAGCTGCGTAAATAGTGGCAGTAATCGATCACTGGGCGAACCACATTCACAAAAACAGCAGATTTTGGGTTCACGGAATTTTGTAAATAAAATCCCTCAAAACGGAAGCATAAAAATCGTACAAAATAAAAGAGGTACACTTCTCCATACAAATCCAAAAATGAATGTCAAATAGTTTCAGAAACTGAAAAGGAATAGAAGGTGTTTTTATACGCGAACATTGACAATTTTGTTCTTCGTTTGATTTTCTTTTGGTGTTTCTTATATATTTATTGTTTGGTTCATTCAGCTGGCCTATTGTTAATAGGGGCCTACATTTCCCAGTTTGGACCCTTCCAAACCACATTCTGGAAAACCTTTTGCTTTCCCGTGCAGAATTACTTTTCTTATGTATTCGTCTGGCTTTGGTTTTACCACGGAAGAATGGTAATTGCCGGTTTACTATAATCAGCATAATTATTTGTCACTGTAACAGCCGTTCATTTGATCCTGCTTGCACCAAATTCTGCCATTTTTGCCATCGGTTCAGGAGCAGCCGTCGCCTTTCCAGTGAAGCTGTAAATAATATCGGCTCAGCAAGGACGAGACGGAAGGAAGATCGCGACCTATCTTCCATGTCTACATAATATTCAAATACTAGTATGCCACAAGGTCGAAAATATGCAAGTATGCCTGACTTGCGCCCATGAAATCAGATTAAAAAAAACACGTGTAATTGGAATTCCTATTTCCATTTTTAAAAAGTGTAATCAGCATTCTTATTTCCAAACAGGGACAACGTGCGTCTATTATCGGGTGCTCAATACTGGAAAATGATGTAGTTAATAATTCCTGTATTCATGAGCGAAGTTATTTACATGCCTTTACTCGGGCCAATCAATTATACGTCCCGAAGGGCAAAACTGATTGAAGATCTAGTAGTCTCTCCCCGAGTAAACATTCTTCTTTTCACGATAACCCCAACATGCGAGAGAACTGAGACTCAGGCAATGCATTCAAAAGTCGGTTCATTACTGGGCACGCCACGTTCCATTTCGCGCGCAGTGCAGTCAAATCCGATTGTCCGCTCCGAGCGGCAACAGAAGAGGGCGTGTTTTTAAATGAAACTGATAGTCCTTTGGCACTAACTCACTGCATAGGCACGCACGTTTATGCGCGTTTGACGCGGAGCAGGCTGAGTACGAGTAGGCGCAACGAATCACGCTGGAATCATAGATACCGGAAGAATATCTGAAGAGTTCATTTTGAAGACACATAATAAGCAGCCATGTTGGTTCCAAAGTTTGAAGTTGGTGCTACTTCTTCTACGGAGCTCTGCCCTAATGGAAACTGGCTCCATGCCTGAACCTGACCACGACTTTTTGGGTGCGTTCGCGCCGGCACTCCTGTTAAAATCAGATAGGATGCGCGCGCATTTCACTCGGGCACAGGACTATACTCCCCCTCTAGCGAGACCCTTGGGTCGTACTCCAGCCGTTCGAGCGCTCAGGAGTATACTTGTATTAACGCGAGTAGCTCACTAGAACGCACCGATGAATTCATAGCTTGTTTGCGCCTTTGTCCTTATGCAGAATATTTCATCTCAGAACTGTATTTTGGAAGACAAACATGATCGATGTGTCGCAGTCAGGGAATAAACAAGGCAGAGTTATCGCAGGAAGCAACCCATCTGTGTCCCATCAGATTTAGTCTCGCAGCATAGGCTAAGCAGAGACTTGTAACGGACAGGTTTACTTTACATTCTTAGGAAACTTAAGAAAACTTAAGAAAAGTGGTGTTAATATTGACGACCTCATCTTAATCTATAACAGTTACATTCGCCCTACACTTGAACATGGTGCGTTGGTGTGGTCTTCGGGTCTCACTTTAAACCAAGATTAAACTATTGAAAGAAATCAGAAGAGTGCACTTCACATAATCCTTTACCCAAAGATCTTGCCATATAACGATGCTCTCGATCTCTTGAGCATCCAATTGCCTTCAGAGAGACGTGTTGACCTCTCTGAAAATATCGTCACATGTTTCCCAACCCAAGACTCTCTCTCACTAAACGAAATCTCAGGAACTCCAATGACCTTTCTATACCCCGAATATTTACTTAAAGATATAAACAAACTCTTGTCTCCTCTATGATCAGATTACTTTATTCTCAGTAGTTGTGGTTTTTAGGTGTTCATATGTTCTTCCTCTTGTCTTATTTCCATTTTAATTACCCGAATTTTATCTTTATCGTAGGTCACTGGTTTTGTTTTGTTTGTTTGGTTGGTTTTTTTTTTTGCAATGTCTGTATGCAATGTCTGGCAATCATTGTAAATATTAATTATCTCTGTAAACCAAATGTTCTTAGTCCTTGGACTTTTTCTTTGGTCACCATCTTCTTTTTAATAATAAAACCGAAAT